AACATTTATACTTACGCGATCTAACCCAAAAAACCTACATTATGAAAAAGCATATACGGTATTAATATTATGAATACTTGAATAACGGTATTTTGTTAAATTTAAATCCATATACATGTGTCATGGAATTAAGTGGTTTAACCTATCGGAAGTGAGAAATTCAACCAACTTGCAAGTAAACCGTAAAAGGAATGTATGGAAAAAATGCCACTCCGCGCACTGCACGGGGAATTGAAATGCGCACAAAGGTTAAATTGATGACTAAGGCTGACTGGCCATTTTGTGAATAGGATTAGCCAACTCGCAGAATAAATGTTGTAACAGTGGCCTCTCACACCGGTAATTGCTCTCCGCACGTAAATGCTCTGGCACACACTTTATTTAAAAAAAAACTTGGAGGCCAAGGCAATGACAACACAAAAAAAATCTTGAGCATAGAATAACTGAATATTAAAATAATGTCACTGAAAAGAAGTGTTGTGATATTACACAACTTGTCCACACATTTGCATACACCGTCTATGACCAAATCACCCAGAAAACACTGGTCTGGTCCGATCTTGGAAGCCAAGCAGAATTGAGCCTGGATAGTGCTTGAATGGGCGACCACCACGCTTTTCTCCTCGTACCGTGTTATCGGTTGCGGGGTTACCTGGTGGGCAGTAGCTAAATCAATTGTTGTACTATATACTCCTGTGCTCCCTGCCTTCAAGAAACCTGCACTGACCAGTGTGGTGAAGTATGGTAAAATAACCATCCATGATCCGCATGGTGTGGGGAGGCCCTCGTCCAGCGGTAGATTGACAAACGGCCAATATATGTACATTTGCATATACATTTACCATATACAGAATACTGTAACATTCATACTTCGAGACTTTAATCTACGGAGAACACAAATGGCACTCCTGATTTCCGATGTTGCAAAGAGGCATTTGGTTCGTGTCTCAGCATATAAAAGTGTTTAGAGCAAGAGTTATTCCCAGGATGCTGCCATGGTGTAATGCTTATCATACTGGACTTGAAATCCAGAGGTCATAGTTCGATATCGCAGCACAGCACTTGAAGTAATGGGGCAAGTTTCTTAAATAATTATCTTTCTTATGACCACTCAGCAGTATAAATGGGTACATCACAATTATTATATTGGCAGGTCGCACGTTGTGGCGTAAAGTGTAGGTACTCGAACCCTTTTCAAGACGTCTGGTTAGCATGGAAAAGTTGGCCAAAATCACCTCCTAGTGGGGGTGATTTTGTCTAGTGGGGGTGATTTTGTCTAGTGGGGGCTCTTCCCTTAGCAGTGGCGTGTGGACAACATTTAAGGACTGCACTATCGCCTTTACCTCATTCCATTTCCAGCCGTACAAAAACATATTGGCATGATACTTCTTTCAGAGTGCATCTAAGGTTAAAGGTCGTCGACATAAATTTGAAACACACCGGGTAGCACAATTAATGATGCAGGTCCTGTTTGCAAATAGGTGTGACACGTTACGGAAAACATTTAACGAGCAGTGAAAGCTTTAATATATTGTATGTGGCTTCATTGTACCATTTCCTAAACCTGTTTTAAATAACCAACTTTGCATCCCTTTTTTCATTCCACTGTGAATGAAGGCCTCCCCACACTGTGATGATCATGACCATACTTCATCATACTGGTCCGTGTAGGTTGTTGAAGGGGAGGCACCTTGTTAGTGTTCATTAAACATATCTACTGACTTATGGAAAGGTAAGATTGTCATCGGGAATGAGCATTGGATAAAACATGCCTTGTTAAAACATAACCATGTATTATTCCACAAAATAGTTGCATCTGTTAAATATGCATACAAAAAGTCAGTGGAGTGAATGTGGCAGGTCAACAGAGTGTTCATTAACACCATTTTTGTGCTTTTCCCAGCAGGTAATTGCGACATTCTGAAAAGGGTATTGGTTCCTAATGCACACCTTCTACAGCAACGATGACATTTAACGTTTATGCAAAATCTTTAAAGGGTTTAAGGAATATTTGCTCTTCTTAGTCTGCCATGCAAGGCATGCTCATCTATCAAAGAATCCGAGCTGGAAATGACGACCCTTACGTCATAACTCAATAACACAATGGCTTCATTAAAGGTTTGGGTTCTAGTTGCAAAACAGGAACAGTCTATTGCAACAAAGGCGTATTGTGTGCCACAAAATAACTCGTCTCTTGTTTCTCAATTGTACAAGAAAGATATACATCCTCATTTGACTCAGTATTGGAAAGACCGAACTACACATTTTGTTTGTAGGTATTAAAGGGATATCAGTGTCCAATTCATTTAAATATCAACAAAGCCACGCTTTGTATTTTAATCATTTAGAGTTGATTTTAAAGAATTACACATGGTATAAAGTTCTGATTGGTGTTTAATTTCTAAGCAGGCAGTGCTTAGCACAATGATTTATTTTATAAGTAATGCAAATTGCAGGACATTGAATACCCTTGAAGTATACAATTTGCCTTTACCTCAATTGTGTTTTGTACTAAAAACTTACTCTTCCATTAAAATTGTGAATTTACAAACGTGGATACCCATGGCTTTTTTTGGGTGACAGGGTGGTGCAGTGGTAACACTTATGCTTCACAGGAAAAAGGGCATAGGTTTGATTCCCAACGCGGATGTCTTTCTGAGTGACATTTGTGTTTTCTCCACTAATCTGCATAAGTCTCCTACGGGTTCTCTGATATCCTCACATAGGTAAAAAAAAAAACTATTAAAGTGGTATTGACCAAACATCCTTATGCTGGAAATTATATGTGTTTTTTTGGTGATCTGTGCATAACGCCTGACACTTCTGTATGCTGTGTGTAACGCTGGGTAGGCTACATTTTCAGGAAAGGCTTATTAAAATTGTAACTAATTATTAGTTTGTTACATGGATAATACATTTTCTCAAAAAAATTACCATCACTACTTTTGATAAACGCCAAGTGCGCCCCTGTTTTTTATATTTTATCTTTTCGTTTCGCACACCATTACAGAATAATAAGAAATAATTTATCATACTCTTTGGTTCTTTATGTAAAGTCACGTAGGTATAAAATAAAATAAATCACGACGTTTCGGGCGCAATACAAGCGTCCATCATCAGGTGGGAAAGCATGATCTGCTGCTGGTGAGGCAGACTGTTTTAAAACGTTTGAAATGGGTGTAGCCCAAGGGTCATAAAGAAGTGGCCGGGGCTAGTGATGTTAATGTGAGAAATGAGCATGTAACTGTAAGATAGGAGGAGAGCGGCCTCCTCGACCAGGGAGTGCAACCCAACGGGTGCAATGCAAAGGGCATGTGAGTATGAGAGTGCAATCCAAAGGCATGAGAGTGCAATGCAAAGGACATATGAGCATGAGAGATCTAAGAGAGAGGCATAGAGAGAGACACAGAGAGTCGGAAATAACAGCTGACATAGGCAGGTAGGATGGAAACATCACAGTCAGTTAAGACTTTACCTGGTTAATAACGTCCTTCCAATGATTGCTCAATTTGTACCCATCCTCTCGGTTGAAGTTGAAATTTACGTTATTTACCACAAGAACCAAAGAGTATGGATTCCTGCAGTCACGAAAGCTTCAAATCAATAATCTCTCAGTTAATTTGTGTGACAATAGTTTTTTTGGGCATCGAATAGAAATTGAAATAAATAAGCGGAGTCATTTTTAATTTAAACTCAGTGCAGTTTCACTTTGATTACTTTTGCTCGCACTTACAGTGAAAATGAGTGAACACCGACCCTTCTGATCAAAAAATCGTAACTTTTTTCAAATTCATATCAATTTAGAACACAATAAGTTATTGTAACTGAGTGCAAATTATTTTTTGTAAAAGCGACCTTCTGGTTTATGTAATAGTTATTTTTTTGTATTCACATCAATACAGAATCCACTAAATCGGTACTCATAAAAATTAATTAATTAAGTCCTACAACAATTGCACATTTGCAACAAACATAAGTCGAGCACTAACTTTTATTTCGTTTATTGACTCTCACAGGTAAGGAAAAAATTAAAGTTTGGAAGACCAATTTTTTTATTGAAACATTTTGTTTACGTTCTTCCTGATAGAAATGTAACTCAAACATCTCTTATGACCATACAAAAAGTGTGTAATAAATTACTTTCAGAAAAAGAGTGAATTACATTCAGTACATCACATTCCGTAATTTAGATTTAATTCAGACTAATCCAGAAGAGTCTGCAGACGAAAGAAGGCGTCAATTAAACAGAGAAAGACAGCAGAGATGGCGTATTCGTCAAAGTCAAAAACGCGGGATCGTTTACGACGTGAAAATGCCCGTAATATGACGGGCAATTACACTAATTGGTGAATATTCATGAATTAATTTGGGACCAGGGCACCTATAAAATACTTTTATAAACTCATTGATCGTAAACGATGTAGATTCCAGGAGTAACTAGCGAGCGCGAACAAATTACGTCATGCATGCAGAGCGTCCGTTGAATGTTTTTTTTTATTTTCTTGCAGTTACCAGATCGTTAGGATACTTCACAAAAATGACCATAGGTTAAAATATTGATATTCTTGGTTCTTGCGGTAAAGTCACGTGACTAATCCCCTGTGGGCTGGTGGAACCAGTGGATTCCTACCAGTAATGTTCATTTGTGTCTCAGAAATCATGTTGGGTCAGGCAATGGGGGGCAGGTGGTACTCGGTTGAAACAAAATTCAACAAAGGGGGTACAAGTAACCAAACAAAAAGTTGAGAACCACTGATTTCGAGCATCGTTGGTCCATTTTCTCGAGCGGTGTGTTGCGAGTAGGGCCATTGCAGGGCTGCGCCTTTACCCACCCCCGCTACCCCCCGGCTGTTGTGAGCCGTTGCACGCGCCATGACGTCACTGTTGAGATAATCGCGTGGGTGCGGTGACGTCACCGAACCCATGCTCCTCGTCTGGTGGGTGTGCGCGCCGCTCAGCCAATAGGAGCGCGGCTCGCGCGGCACGTGACTCCCGCAACCCACAACTGGTTCCAACACCGGCCCCTCCCCCCCGTAGAGCAGCAGCGAGGCAGCCGCAGTGGATGAGTGAGTGGAGTGTGTTGTGTGATGATCACAGCAAACAATCATTGCTACGACTTTTACATGATACATTTCCGTAGTCATTCTATTGCCTGTTATGTTCACGCCAGCGTTTGCGAGCAGCGGTTAAGAGGGAAGCAGTGTAGGAGGGTAGAACTCGCTCTGGGCTGGGCCGCAGGCCCCGCGATTTTATTGTATAATAATAATAAAATGTAACCAATTAAATTGCAATTAAGCAGACGTCGCTGCTTACATTGTGTGTGTGAGAGAGATAAAAAAATATAAGTTGTTCGAAATAGGAGAGAGGGCTAAGCCAGGTGTCAGATCATGAATGTGTGGTGGGTCCCGGCGGACTGGATCGTCGGCTCTGGCATTATAAAATGGCTTGCGAATTATGAATGTGGCTCCACCTTTTGTCAGTCAATACCGCATGTTTGTACATCTGCTGAATGTATACGAACTTCTTTCGCACCGTACGTAGCCAAACGTGCTCATCGGAGGTGCGGGGGGTGGTAAGGGCAACAGACTAAGCACGAAGCAAGTGACTATAGTTGACGCTGGGCCCCTGCGGGTTTGTGATGGAGAACGTGGTGCAATAACAACAGTGGAGTCTGCTGCAATGCTCTCACACAAATGATGGCCTGGTAAATGCCACCGAAGAAGTCTGTGGTGGGTTTGGCTCCACCAATATCAATGGTCAATGCACAGACCTTCTATTAGGTATTGTACTGCTGGATGTGAGCCCTCCCCATGTAGGAGTTATTTGACCATACTTCAGCATTCTAGATTTGAAGCTTTCGTGACTGCAAGAATTCATACTCTTAGGTTTTTTCGGTAAAGCCACGTAGGTAAAAAAAATAGAAAATGATAGAAATAAAATAATAAATCACGACGTTTCGGAGGCAACACAAGCTTCCGTCTTCAGGTGGAACCGAAAAAAACTTAAGAGTATATCAGCATACTGATCAGTGAGGGTTGGTGAAGGCGAGCGGCATAGACATGGCAGCGGTTGTTTTTCCCTGCACTGCATTCTGCTGCAATGTCTCTGTCAACTGTTGTTAGCCAAATGTCCAGTGGGTGAGGTATAGTTCTGCAGATGTTAATGACGGGTGTATCCTGCGACTGTCAGTAGTGAGTGGCTTTGTGTCAACGTCGCCTTCAAAAGTGTCATTGGTGAGAATCGCTCCACAAGTGTAAATACGACGAATGTGTCTCCATAAATGAGTGCGGACAATGCTACCGTAAAAAATGCATGTGAAATTAATTGTGTGATTGTACGAGTTGCTATGAAAGGGCAATTTAGGATTGCTTGAGTTTTGCTTTGCTGACAACCTTGTACAGAATTATTATACAGAAGGGCAAAGGCATGTCTGTTGCCATTGTTATTCTCATTGGGTGTCTTTACTCATTACGATAGTTTTTCTACACGTTACGCATCTCTGTCAGGAATTCAACCTCTGTACAAACTGTGCCGGTGTCAAGTGTACAGAGCTTTAGATTGTTTGTCCATCCTAAATTAAATGTGTGACTGCGTTGCACTGTGAGATGAGTGACAATGATAAGCCATGCAACGTATGTTGACGGTATGGCCACTTTGTGTTGTATGGATATTTCGTGAGCATGCACTGATATTTATGATTTTATTTGACTATATCACGCCTTTGGTATTCTGGGCCAAGCATTTCGTTTCATCGCAGCATAAATTATTTAAAGATAATTCGGAAAGCAGCCATGCATACAAAAGCCTGATCCGAAAGCTCACAGGCATCATACATACTCTGCTGTCCTTTGTGACTCATTGTAACATGTTGGTCATTCAAATAGACTTATGCAAAAACATTGCATGGTTTTAATAATATGTATAGTTATAATTGTATTCCCCTTAATTTTGTTTTAATGATTGGTATGTTTTTAAAATTATGCAACGGTAGCTTTAGCTTCAGATAACGTGCATTTTTAACATGCATTTTGTTTCACAGCTGTAAGGGCCATATACAGCATGCTAAACACAACCATATAACTATTTGCGAGTCACAAAACCAAACATCGCTACGAGTGGAGTTCGACTATGTCCACAATCCAGTGTTTTATAGTAAATGTTTTTTTTTAGAAAGGGAATGTGTACCATAATCTAATAAGTATTGCCATTGTTTAATTTGTAAAAGCATCTTCATGCTGTACAATTTTCATGTAATAGTTGTACGTCATTTTCACATTTGTTTTCCATTAAGTGGAGCCAGCTTGTCGCATATGACCTTTTGAAGGGCAAATCAATGTCCTCGGCTTGCACATGCTCAGTGATGCAGAGGCGTTGGATGACCTAACTTGCAACAGCAGCCGGTGAACAAAGTGCAAACGCAGGCTGGAAGTTTATTGACAGCTTTTTAATGTATCACCAATAACTATGAGCTCCTTGATGCACATACGTTTTTGTTATTTTTAGTAAAAACGCAATCAAAATATGGTTGAGTTGTGATTATATGTTATTAGTTACCATTGTTGTTTATAAGTTTCAATTCTGTGTTTTTTTCTATGTTAGCAGAAGGTGGAGTCGTAAAGGCCAAAGATGTCTGGAAACTTGCGCAATGATATCAACATCAAGGAGCCACGCTGGGACCAGGGCACCTTCACCGGACGGGCAAAACATTTCTTCACAGTCACGGATCCCCGTAACGTGCTGCTGTCCAATGATACATTGAATGCAGCTTCCAACATCATAGAAAATTACAAGTATGTGGATGGACTTGTTTTTATGCTAGTAAGAACAGTGAAAGTAGTCTTTCTTTCTTAGTACTCCCAACATCTTACAACGTTAATAATAAAACTTAAGATTTTTCATGAAACATATTCTCCAATTAAAATTAAGATTATTCATATTGATTATGGGGGAGGGGGAGCGGTGGTGTGGTGGTTGCGCAATAACCTGCCACGGCTAACGTCAACTCCGAGTGATATCATAACAGGTACTGCTCCCCCTCATTCGCCTTCACGAACCAAGATTGCCAAGTGTGCTGAAATATGGTCAAACAACCCTATAACTGATATGGCATGAGGAGGCCTTCATCTGGCAGGGTATTGACAAATGGTTGCGCATGTTGTATAAAATTTTACTAACATTGGAAGGCATGGTACATTTTACAACTTTTAGGAAAATATAATTGTTAAACTTTGAAGGTTGAACGACATTTTTTCAGTATAAAAAGAGCATTGACAAAGGTCAGATTGTTACATCCTTTCTTGTGAATTTTTTTAAAATTTTAACAATTTATAAACATAATTCAAGTATAAATCTTGACTTAAAGCTTTCGTGACGGCAGGAATTCATATTCTTTGGGTCTTTCGGGAAAGTCACGTAGATGGGTTCAAAGAAAATAACAAGTATAGTATTATCTGGTGTACACAATGCATTGATTTGTAAGCAATAGTGATTGTGAAGAGACACAAACATATTAACTTACCATGTATTCCTTGAAAGCATTCACACAGACGTTATTACACTTCTTGGCCATACTACAGTACTGCTTTAAAGACTGGTGTTGACTTTTTAAAAAAGTTCGACCACCTCATTGAATTACAGCGCACATGTGAAAAGTGATACTTGACTTTGTGAACTTTTCACCATGGTCAATAAAGGTTCATGCCAAATATAGCAGTATTGTTACCTGCTTACACCAAAATGTCAAGGCTTGTTCTGTTCAGATTTTAATTAAATGTCTCATACATTTATTTACTTGAATCAGATGGAAAGTTAATATTCGACACTTGTAAGTTAAAATGGAATGTGGCAAGTACATTTTTTTGTAAACTCGTTACACATTTGGTGGGAAATGTGTATGGCCAATTACATTATTTTAAACATAAGACGAATGCATAATATTAACGACACGTTATTTGACGTTATTTATGAAACATGTCTTATATCCTTTACATTTCAAATACAATAGCAGCTATAAAGGAAATATTGGCATACCAGACATAATATGAACTACAATGGCCGTATTTAATTAGGGGAACACGTTAAAACCTTTACAAGAATATAGTTTACTGTAGTTAAAATGTGAGTTTGATGGCTGTTCCCAAAAGTGTGAAGTGAGTTGGGCTACGTTTTAATTTCCCAAAATGGCTGGTCATTACAAGTCGACACTTATGTATTGGCTATATTTCAACTAACATATTTCAAATAATACTGATACAATGTATTATTCTTAAGCATTGAATGCAGTTCCCCCCACATTTTGTAACAATATTTGCCTGTATTGCCCTTAAATGAAAGACTATTGGCTGTGACCATTGATGTGTTGAATCGAGATTTTCCATTGTTATTAATGGACGAGCCATGCAGTGAGTACAATCTTGACAAGTCTGACAGGTAATACCTCAAATATGACTCCAGATTAAAAAAAAAACTTTTGTCTGCCAAGTCTATAAAGTCAAAGAAAGAGCCCAAATAAGCTTAACACTTGACAGGCAATACAGGATACGATGTGCAAATGTGTTTTTCAAGTAACCGACATCTCCAGGTACACACATATGTTGTATACGACCATATGTATTGTATGTTGCCACATTTATTATTGTTTCCATAACATTTTACAGAATGAGAATAGAGCATTGTATCCATATGAATTTACCACTTTTTAAAATTTTATATAAAAACTTAAGGCTTATTTCTAAGTCTAAATATAATTTGCAGCCTATTGTGAATCTGCTTCTGGATGAAGGCCTCCACATATGTAAAATCATATTTGTATTTCATTTGGTAATTATATAATTTATAAGATGATAGAAAAGCCTTACATTTTATATGATTCATAGTGATCCGTGTGAAAAGTAAAATTATCTCATTAAAGTTTTATTTGAGTTGAATGTGATATATAAGGAGCATTCATATTACTATGACCATTACTGGGGGTCAAATGATGAATGACCAAGATGGTCCATCCAATGAAAGGAACGGGCACCATTTGTCTTGTAGCAAATGCTCAATTCTCATGTCATAGATCACTGGTAGTATCGAGATTCTTGATTACCTAAGCTCCTAACAATAAGGTGATTGAATGACCACCTTTGACCATCTTTACAGTTTTTTTTCCATATAGATGTGCTGTCATGGATAGATAACTTTAATGGTTTTTTATTTGCTGAAATAGATAATAGGTATGAATGTGTTTAGCATTCTGGTCATTACTCATTAAGGATTACCAATCTGTTTTAAATATCCGTTTAGCATTTATTGTAACCCCTTAAATGAATCGTCAGCTATGGCATTTTGGGACAAAATGGATTTTTATCAGATATTTTAATTTACAGATGGTTCTCCATAAAATAAAAGGTGGAGAATGTTATCAAAATCTGTTTTGCCTGTGTCTAGGTTGGGTGTTGTACCCCCAACCCTGACGGAAGATGAGCTCTGGAACGCCAAATATGTCTACGACTCTGCCTTCCACCCTGACACCGGAGAAAAGATGATGCTGATTGGCCGCATGTCGGCACAAGTCCCCATGAACATGACCATCACTGGCTGCATGATGACTTTTTATAAGTTAGTACTGCACAATGTTCATTTCCATCATTATAGATAATTAAAAAAACAGGTTCATTAGGCGGTTTTCACTGTCTTTTAATGCACTCGGCAACTATAATATTAAGTTACATTTTTGTTATGATAGATAATGTGACTCACGAAAGATTTACAAACAGAACATTTATGGTTTGATGGATGCTGTGATTTCTTTTTATTCAGATCCACTCCAGCAGTGCTCTTCTGGCAATGGATTAATCAGTCTTTTAATGCAATTGTCAACTATACCAACCGTAGTGGAGATGCGCCTCTTACAGTCAGGTAAACAATCTCAGTTATTCATTAAAAAGCTATTGTATTGAAGTGTGTTAAAATATGTTATACTCACACTTGCTGAGTTGTCATTTGGCTGCTGCTGATGTCTCTTGAAAAAAGAGCTGTAGAGCTCAGTAAGTTTTACTTTGGAAATAAACTTCTGAACTTCTTACGCGTTGAAGCTACATATAAAAACAATAGCTTCAGAGATTATGCAGCGGTGCATTGCAATTTATTGTAAAAAGTTAACTTGAAATGTTTGGGAAAGTTTATATACGTATCAGGTCCATATACATGTGTAAATATGTATGTTAAACTTTTATTTTATTCAAATGATTTTTCTTGAGGTGATCAGGTAGCTTATAGTTCAGTGCTGAACCAGTAACTGCTGGATTCAAATATTGGGCGCCTCCCATTATTTAACTTGGATTTCAAGTTGAGCGAACTAATGATATCAGCCTAGTTATCAATAACTGCACAAAAAAATCTTTATTAAGTTTGGTTTAGTATTTAATTTGGCTAAATTCCAGCCATGAGAGTAAAAAATATCGATGTAACTGTCATGAGACAGTTGAACAAATGGGAAACTGTGACCCCTACTCTCTAAAGAATAATAAAGCAACTCGACAATATTTTTGTTGAAGTCTTGAGAAAAATCTATTTAATGGGCCATTTATACACATGAGGTCTGCTGCTTTCTGAGCTTTGCAAATTCATTCTTTGACTTATGACACTGACAGCCTCATCATCAGCCATGGTCTACCTGTAAGTGACGATGACGGCTTGGGGAGACAAAGCATGATTGAAATCATTTTTAGGAAATATAAAAAAACATGACCTGAATGATTTCAGCCTGAAATTTTCATCATATCCTAGATCCTAATTGTGTGTATTGCTTTGCAGCCAACTTGGTACAGCTTATGTTTGTGCCACCTCTGGGGCTGTTATCACAGCTTTGGGCCTCAACTCCCTCACCAAGGTAACACATAAATAAATTGGATGTGTTAAATAAATGTTTACAGACTTCTATTCTTTATTTCCAAATACATGTAACAAATGTGTTATTATCTTTATGCAAACAATTATATTTTGTATATAAAATGACTGTGAATGTTGTTATTCAAGGCTGATATTTAGACTTACATTTGTTTGCACATTGGTGGCAAAATAATTACATTGTGTTAATCTGATGTACATGTCCCCATTGTCTACTAGAGAGTCAGCCCTCTCATTGGGCGCTTTGTTCCTTTTGCGGCGGTGGCTGCTGCAAATTGCATCAATATACCCTTCATGAGACAAAGGTACATAACATAACATGAGACCTGTTCTGAACTGCTTTTAATCATTGTCTGTAATGTCTGTTTGAACATTTTTTTTAAAGTTGTTTTTTAAAATAACTGTCTTCCTATTCATTTCACCCTTTTAAATGAAGCCCCCATACTTTTTTGTCTGGTAAGTGTTTCATGCAATATTACTCGGATATAGAATTGATAATAGAACCCTTTAGTTGCTTATAGTCGATTTAGTTCTAATTGTATGTATACATTCGTGCAGGTGTTCTCAACCCATTTCAGTTATTAAAATATCCATATTTGGAATAATTTTCTATAACCACATTACCCTTGACACTGGATCCCTGTATGATTCCTGCAGGTCAACGGTTGAGATCCCTTGCATTAGAATCCATGCTGTGTTTCGCTTGCAGCCCTGTTTACAAATCTAGTAGTTAATTTCCATACCTACTGTTTCTCCCTTGTATCCTAGAGACCCTATTTTCCTGGAAGTGGGTGGGAAAGAAGGGTGTAAGCTATCAAGTAACACTATTCTGTGTAACACTGTCATGTGTGTAGTTGGGTTTCTTATGATTGCAGTACTATGTTGCGTAAGTGCTTAATATGTAAATGTTATTGAAGCATGTGGTTTACATTATTGATGAATGAAACATATATTTTTTAGCAATCTTGTCCTGGCTCTCTTTCCATTTTAATGGATATATTTTGTAGTCACTTCTGCTGCACATATTTCAAGAACGCCATCAAAGTTTAGTTGTACAACCCGGCACGTATTTAGCCAGCTTTCAAAGTGATTTTTAGCAACAAAACTTTTTTTGGTATGTACAACATTTAATGTTGATAAATGTATGTCTTTATCTTTTTACTATTATCCTTTTCTGTACTGCCTATTGGGATTACCATATACTGTGTATTTAATGATTTTAAAGATTAAATATACAGTATAGCTCAGCTACACATGGGTCTGGCAACAATAGAAGAGTACGTATAATCTGTTGTAAATCTGAGGTTAAAAGGGTAGATGCGAAAACCTTCAATCATCATTGAATTGTTTGCATGTTTTACATGCGTTACAATTCAATCATGTTCCCTTTTCATCAGTAGATCAGTGTTTAAATACTACATTTACAATTGAGGACCTGTCATTACATTTCAAAAATGTTTCTTGTTGGCTTTTAGTGCTTGTTCATGTATGCAGTGTTCTCAGTCGTGCGTATGAGTGTGTAGCAATGCATTTTCTGTGGCATTTGCCCATGTGTTCCCAGGGAGCTGAAATGTGGAATCCCAGTGTTTGATGAACAAGGAAAACGCCTGGGAGAATCCACAAATGCAGCCCAGCAGGCCATCACCCAAGTGGTCGTTTCCAGAATCGGAATGGCAGCACCGGGCATGGGTAAGGATATTTGGACATTGCAGATGCATCCCCGTTTTTGTACATTACAGGTCATTGCTATACATCATATATAAACATGCATTTTAAAGGTATTGCAGTATTATACATTTATATTTATTAAAAGAAAGAGTGATGTATTGACAAATTTAGTAAGTTATTGATATGATTAGTTTATACGTGCTAAAATTATACTATTTTACTGAATATACAGCTCTGGGTCAATCCACTAATGGCTTTCCCACAACATGTCAATCATGGTAATTATTTGACCATACTTTAGCATGCTGCTGGGTAGTATTTGGTAAAAGTGCACCGATTACCAGTTTAGGTATCACGCACTACTGGTGTTAGCCTTGGTTAGGAATTTAACTGAGTTAGATAGGGTTATAGCACAGTGTAATAACTACGGTGGCACTATTTATTTATTTAGCTTGATGTCGTAGTTTTGTGAATCGTTAGAAGCAGCAAAACTTGTTTATTAAACAGAAAATATACACTTCCTTAAATATAATCAGTGTTAATATGTTTAACAATGTTGATGTCATGTTATTTTGAGTCTTGGTGAAGGTAGTAACGACATGGGCTCTTCAGTTTGTCCTAATGTCTTATCTGCATCCTGTTGTTCAAACATAAGGGAGAAAGCTGTTGTTTGGCTTGGTTAGCACTTGAACTCGGTGAACTATCCACCCACAATAATTACATAGAGAACATTATACCTTAAAAAATGACCTGCGAGTTGAAAGGTACTTCCACTAAACCAAACACTGTAGAAACAATATTAGCCTGCATCCTTTAAGGTTTAATGTGCTCAAATGTTTACTTCGCATACATTTGGTATTTATTCACCAGCATGTGTAGCTAAGTGATGATGGTTAGCAAATGAAAAGAGAAGTGAATCTTTAAGCAACTGAACATAGGAGTATAATGTAATATACAGTGTAATTGTCATTCCACTGCTGGATGAAGGCTTCCTCATGCCATATTAATCGTGGGTGTTAGGCGAACATTCTTCATCACGCTGGTCAGCGTGGGTTTATGAAGCGGGAAGCTAATGACTGTTTTCTGTGGCAGAATCGAATTTAGGTCACTAAATTCATAGCACAGGGCACTAATCAGTGCCACAACTCCATTAATTGTACAAGGATATATTTGCACCTGACGTTTGAAATTTCTATTTGCAGCCATCCCACCATTTATTATGAATGCTTTGGAGAAGAGGGCATTTATGAAGGTAATTGTTCAGCTTTCGTATATCACATTGGAAACAGACTTATAATGGCATAGTTTTATTATAAATGTTCTATACAAGATCATGTCAGTTCCAACATATGCCTACTTTTGTAAATTTCAGAGATACCCTTGGATGAGTGCACCAATACAAGTTGGTCTGGTGGGAATTTGGTAAGCGTTTTCTTTTTTGATATTTGAGCATTCTATTTTCTTTCCAAAATAGCCTGGTATAATGTTTCCTGCATTGGGTTCCTTGCTGTCGAATATAAATAATGATGCAGGCCTGTTTACTTGTGCAGATATATTCTCCATGTTTGTTTTCCTCTACAGCTTGGTGTTTGCAACCCCGCTGTGCTGTGCACTTTTCCCCCAAAAAAGGTATGCTGCCTTTAAAAAAAAAACATTTAAATAAATGACCACACTAGATACATCTGATATATGTATATATTGGTTATGAAAGTGATGCTGTTTTACGATCTTTCTCATGATACCAAATGCAGGAGATAATATCTTGCACGACAGTCAATAAACATGCTTGGTCATTAATTTCTATCCGTTATGGTCAAGTACTGCGTTTCACCTCTGGTAATTTGAACAATACTTAAACGAATGATTTAAGAGTACATATTTGTGGACTGCATTCCATCGTCACCTGTTGTTTCTCTCCTCAGTTCTATGAATGTCACCAGATTGGAGCCCGAGCTTCAGACCAAAATTCGTGAGTCTGCTCCAGGGGTCAGCGTTGTTTACTTTAACAAGGGACTCTGAGCGACCTCACTGTGGTGTGACCTCCACGTTCTGCTTCTCTGACCAGCACATCATCTTTATGGCACAAAATGTTTAATAGGAGATATGCACGAATGTTAAGTTTGAAGTCAGATGCATAAAACATTCAGGGAACTGGGGTCTTTTATAAAGGAGAGGGTGCTCATGTAAGAAACGAAAAATGAAATTGCTACATTTTAACATGGAGACGAAATGATTTAGGTTGTCTTCACATGTATCATGGATATTATACTTATATTATCTGGTACACAAAATACTAGATGAAGATTTCACTTTTCATTATGGTGAGAATTAGAATAGTTGGTTTGCTTTGTGGCATGTGTTTCTCCCAATGATGTTTCCTAAGTGCTGTTTATTGAAGTCTCTACGAATACCCTCGAATATACTTACCCAATTAATGTAATTTTAAAGTATATTCATATTTCTGCAATGTTTGAATGGGTAAAATAGTAACTTGCCCTCATTCTCCCTCTGAGAGAATGCTGTATTGATTTCACATGTACCGAACTCGTGCATGTCCCCTATTGTGCTCCAAGACTTGATGACTCTTACGATTAAATGTCAGTAATTGGATAGTCTATTTAGTAGATTTTATTGTAAATGTTATTGTAAATTTGATTTGATCTAGTTTGTTTTAAATGTATTGATCAGTGTTCGCCAATATGCACAATAAACATTTCAGTTTAATCACACCTGATGTCATTTTAAATTAAAAACGATGTCTTGCTTTTGCACATTCCATGGCAATTTCACTTTCTTACATAAATGCTAGATCTATCATTTGTAATGCGTAGCATACCTAATTATGATTATTGCATTCATGTAAATTGGATTGATTCACAAAGTTTATAGTAATGTAATTGGACTCTAATAATCCAGCCTGAATGAGAATTGATCGTGTCTATACTGGAAAGAGCCAGATTAGAAGAAGAATATCACATCACTTAAAAATTCCCAGTGTATAAAAGGACAACTACCACATGATGGTACAAAATCAAATTTTTAGAGGCATAGGCAGTACTGTATGACTGTGTATATGCATACAAATGCAACTTGATACCGAAATTGGAAATGGTGAAGTACGGTATAATGTTCAACTAAAACTTCCTCACTGTTTTGTATTCACACTACTGGAGAGATGAGCAAAGGTCAATGTGGCAAAATGTTATAATGAACACCAAGTTTAAACGATCAAACAGGAACATCTACATTATACGTGTAGATTTTATGAACAATATATTTCTCTTGGATTTATGTAATGCATTTTCTGAACATTTTTTGTTATTTGTAAAACGGGCGTGCATGTCCACAAGTCCATATGAATTAGCATTTTAATTATTTCTTCAGAATGGACATTTTTGCTCGATGTTCAAGTGTACAAAACATTTATTCTATGGTTAGAAAATAGTTTACATACTTGAAGAACTTCATGTTAGAGTTTTATTCCGTAATGCAGAGTACTTTTAATATATTTCCCAATGGGTCCACAATAAAGTTAACAGGTCGCATGACATGTCTCATGGATAGACGGTATGATGTCACCCCGTCGTAACATCATAACGTCTTTATATGTGACCACTAATCTATCTGTACCTATTTTCTCTCGGTCTCTCTTCTTGTTTATCTTGCGTTCATATCACCAATATTTAATCCCGTCGACAGCTCTCACCCCAAGCTCTGGTTTAATGCTCAATTTTGCAAATTTGTATCTCTGTGTCTTGGTGGGCCACTCCAACAACCATCGCAGCCATATCTGGCCCATGTCTGCCCGTTGGAGAACCCAGACGTAAGCATTTATATCGCAAAAGGGTACATGTGGTGTTTCAATAAATCTGCACATGTAGTACAGATGAAAATGCGTCATTAAGTTACTTGTATTGATATTTTACAGGTATGTGCTGCCTCATGCAAGAATACTTAAGCCTCATGCAAACTAAATTGTAACTTTTAGTTGTAATTAGGAGTCTTACCAACTTGAAAATTGTGTTTAAATCTCTGCAGTAAAGATGCTTATTTCCAAAACACTGAAATAAAAAACCTCCGAATTTTTCAGTAAAGCTGCTCACTTAGATTGTATGCTTTCTGACACTTAAACGGAGGCATTCTTGTTGAATTATTGTTAAAGGAAAGAAAGCATGGTAATAAACATTTGGTTAATTTGGTAATGGTAAATCACCGTATTGTCAGAATGGTTTGATAACATTTCTAGTTGTTAATTTGTTTTAACCATTGCAGGAAACTGAAAATGGTAAGTATAGGTGTTGACATGTATGACAATGTTAATGTGCTGGCATCATTATGGAAGTGTGTCGTCTGGCAAATCCTGCAAGCGCAAGTGCTGTAAAGCTGTTGTAAGTGAAATAAAGCCATCATAAGTCAATGAAGTCGGTTTGCATCGAGTTTGTGAAGGGTGTTCGCAGGTTGAGTAAATGTGTGCTGTTCCTTATTTTCCTATTTGCTTAGGTGCATACACATTTTCCTTTGAAGCAACGCCAGGTGACATGGTGTACAATAATATAATCAAACAATACTCTTTGTTAGAAAAAAAAGCACATATAAACTTTCTTTGATTTCATAAAAATGTATAGCTGTACACCAAGATCGTACTACACCTTGTAATTTGGTTAGTATATACCTCTGGTTTGTATGAATGTTTATAAGTGAATGTTGACCAATGTCTCGTTTTATGATTTTCATTATTAGTATTACCACTGTAACTCTATCTAGTGTACTTTTTAAAATAATTTATTATATGATTACAGCTGCTTTAATTAAGTTATTCCAGCATTTCTTGGTTAATTTCCACTAGCTATTTTTTCGTCTGCCATAAGCATTGATTGCTCAGTTTGTACCCATCTCGGTTGAAATTGTGTCTGTCTATATATATGGATGGCTTCATGAACGAATCTTTGTTGATAGCCAGTGGTTTTGCAAAGTACCTTCGTCGAGAAGATGGGTACAAACAGAAATCCAGTTGAAGTCATAACTGGCTGTGATGTTCCCAACCTACCACCTTCCAATGTTATTTTCAGCCCTCTGATTTTTTACATTAACAGCCTAATTTTTTCACTAACACCACAGCTACCTCGCGCGTCATCCTCGAGGCTGCTGCTTCACGATCTTCCATTAACATGCTAATCTCTTACATTAACATAGCCACCTTGGCATGCTCGCCGTGGAGGATGCTCGGCGATCTTGCATTGACATGCTAATTTTTTTCATACTCTTAGTTTTTTCGGTAAAGTCACGTAGGTAAAAAATGAAATTAAAATTAATAAAAGCAATAATAGAAATAAAATAATAATAAAAACATGGCCATTTTCATTTTCTTCTATCATGTGCACCAACAGGGGCTTGCGCACAAACACGTCCACGTCGTGCTCTCGTTTAGCCCCCCCCCCCTCCCAATACGTTCTATTCATTGGCTACCACATTCTTGGAATCCCTGCCTCACTTGATACAGCAAATCTAGCTGTGACGGTCCCACCTGATGACGGAGACTTGTGTTGCCTAATTTTGATTGGTGGAAAGCCCACCACCGCCATGGTCGCTGCCCACCACTTGCATTGGGCATTGGCTGCTGACATTTGGGCTACGCCCATTTCAAACCTTTATAAGCAGTTGTCTTTAGAAGCTAACCCCTTTTCCTGATGACGACTGCTTGTGTTGTGATCGAAACGTCGTAGTTTTTTGTTATTTTCTTTGAACCTATCTACGTGACTTTACTGAAAGACCCAAAGAATATAAATTCCTGCAGTCACGAAAGCTTTAAGTCAAGATTTCAAAGGTGTATATAACCTGCTTTAATGGGGGTTGTGAACATGGACCTAATGTAATAAAAGAGTGCATGAAGAATGATTGTTTATGCTTGAAATTACACTGAAAAACTAACATGTACTTGAGAACATGCAAGTTAAGAGACACCATATTGACAACAAATTAAGCAAGTCACCACTACATGGGAATGAGGGCCAATGGGTAAGACTAATAATGGCGTGGAAGCCAAAGGGACACCCGAGAAAGTGTCCACCGCAGAGATGGAGTGATGAGATCAGCTTCTGGGTAGGAACCCAGATGGAATGCTGCATCCAGAGACAATGAGGGATGGTGATGGCTTAGAGAGGGATGCCTTCATCCAGCAGTTGGTAGACCGGTACCGAAAATTATGATTTACCGTACTTATTTTTTGGTAAATTTCCAGCCATTGTGTTATATGGATGTATTGGCAGACACCGGTGCAGCATAACACACCGTGCCTCATAAAACAGTCTGACGATGTCGCTGTTGCCCTTGAGTGAGTTGCACTCTCCCCATCAGAAGTTTATTCAGCAGCTGCTTTCCCGTTAGAACGTGTGACATGAGTAAAAAATTAACCCGTAAAAACAAAGTTTTTCACTCTAAATCCTTTATATGCGTGGCGGCTAGAGTCCTCTCGTCCTCTGGCTTGAGATGGCTGCCACCTATGGGTCAGATCATTGTCTGCCAGCATTAAGCAATTGGTAAATAAATATTTATTTATTTTTCCCTAAACAGTGTAAAATTTTGGAAAAAAATGTTCACGAAAATTAATTGTCACGCACAACGAGTCTGTGTGGAAAATGTCAGCTCGATTGGATCACGGGAAGTGGGTTAAAAAACGACCGAAAGATTTGCACGGTCGTAAGCAAGCAAGCGAACTTAATATAAAGGATTTAAAAATGTTTTGATGCCACAGTCCGCCAAGAAAGTATTCCGTCCAACCAAATCTAAGGCACGAGGAAAATCTGCCTTTGAAACATGGAGCCAATCGTCATCAGGCTGGGTGCTATACGGTAACAGACTGTGAAGCTTCGTGTTCAGTTGCTTATAACATTCGTCTTCCGACTGCTTTGACATCACGAGAACTGATTTTGACATGCCCCACAAGATTTTCCGGGGTTGTGCAAATCGTGGGATCAAAAAAATTACTGCGAATTTTTTTAAATATACATACCGTGCACAGGTGTACCTCCAATACGCTTATGTGCCTATTTGCAATGGGAATGTACAAATTCAAACCTGAGGTGTCACGATATTTGAGGCAAACAGTTGCAACTATGAAGACATTCAATTTTGACTGCCCTTGATGCATTGGTGTTTACATAAGTCTTGCCTATGACCTAAACTGGATTAGTTGGAGGTCACGGTCACGCCAACCAAGTATAATTTAAGTAAACTTTTCCAAATAAGCACTTGCACCGAAAATGTTCCAATTATAAAGTAACCTAATTGGTATATACTGTTATAGAATACATAAAAACTACTCGTTGTTTAAAAGTAGCTTAAGATAACTGCCAGCATGTGAATAGACCGAGATTGGGCATTGCACAATGTAAAATAATGACGATTGTAAGGACAGCAAGACAGTATTAGTAAACGTAGACTGATTTATTTATTTTTAAACAAAGTAAACGTTTAACAAAGCCAGATGGATGCTTTACATTTTCACCCACTTTGTCCAAGAAATGTACAAGAGATCTTTTAAACTTTTTTTTGCATTTTTATTTTCCTCGAAGTAGGAAGAGGGGGTTGGGGTCAGTGTTTTCAATTTTCAAAATATAAAAAAAATCCATCAATTGCATTTAAGATCCGGAAACATTTGTGCCCGAGATGCTCAAAATAACACTGGACCAAACGTTTACAAGCGTGCGGTTATCGTACGAGAGCCACGTCAAGGATGCAGAACCTGGCGCGGCACGTGGGGCAGGGCGCTCGGCTCGAGAGCCACACCTCCGGGTGCTGCTGGTCCTGCCGGCTGGCAAACCACTTGCCCATGCACGTGAGGCACCACATGGGACGGCAGAAGCAAGTCTGACACTCTCCCTCGGCGTTCCCATCGCACTGTTTGTGCAGCTTCACGGTGGCTGGCACCTGCATGCATCCGATGCATGGCTCTGTCTCCTAGACGAGTGAAGAAAGCAGATTTATGTGGATAAGCGTTGATAAAATGCACATCAGGCCTGTGCACAAAATAGGATTCCTTCTTTGAGAAAATCAGTGATGTTTAGGGCTGTGTTTTTCTTCACGAATTGTAACATATGCGAAAGATACATTTTGACATTTAAACATGCTGCTTACAGATACTATTGGGAAAATAAGGGATTGTTTATTCAGTCCTTTGCATGCGTGTGATCTTGGAGCCATTGCGTGAGTTTGGGTGTGCATGCGAGTGCACCTGCGTCACTTGTTTGCCTGCAGCAAGCTTCGCGAGCCACTTCAAATGTTTGTGAGAATATATCACCCTGCCTATGCCAAGTATTGTCATTGCACATTACTGTCCCAGCCATGTATTCAGAATTTTCTAATAATTAATGACCAAGATTTTTTTTTTAACACTGGCTGACACTAATGTGTCTTTACATCTCACGGACAAAATTACCCAAAGAACATACTTAGCATATGGACAATATTATGTGCACAGCATATTAATTGTCAACATTAATGAAATATGGTGCTTTGTCTTATTTTATGGCTTGGCTTGGGAGGAAAGGTATTGTTAGACTTTTTGAGTTTGAGCTTGGCCAGAAATAATAGCCATGGTAATTCCCACGAGGCAACCTGAACTCTGCTCAACCCTCATGGGTCAGCAGGCATACACAAGAACCCATACCCATCGGACAGGGCCACCTTTTGTGTTTTGTTCTGTGCCAAGTGTTGTCTGCTACTCCTGGAATGTTTTTGTATTTATTATTAAGGGGAGATGCACAGCAGTGCTGACCGCCTGGTCACAACAACGGCCGCACTCATATGGAAGGTACCGTCGCTGACCGTTAGTATGGAGGCGGCACACAACGCTGTTTTGTGTGGCCAATGAAGGGCAGGTAAGCTGATCGCCGCTGTCACCGACTCGGGTCAGACATGGGCGATCCGATCTACAAATTAGTCTGTCGCCGTGTCGAGCCAACCATATACATTTCCCTACATCCCCTTGAGGAGAGGCAGCTTGATAGAAAAACAGGACAACTAAATCCATTCAAAATCCATTTTCTCCTCTGGGATGACAGCCCATTGAAGTTGGTGGAGATAAGATGCCACTGCTGATACATCTATTGGCTTTTCGGCACATACTAACGTTGTTAAATTGGTTATGTTGGAAGACTTGTTTTGTTTTTATATAGCTGAACAAAAACACAGCTTTGAACTCCCAGGCATGAATGCAAAAAATATTGTACATAAACAAGGTCAGTAGCGCTGCAGCTAACCATAATTAACATCAACATGGGCTTGTTTTACATGGTTATTGCTGGGGTATGCTGCAAAAACACGAATTTACTTTTCTTGGAAATATTTCAATAAAATTGTATTGCAATAGCTACAAATATAATGGCAATTCAGAATTCAAATGATTCTGAAAGCATTTTAATTGATGAGATGGTGCACAGCTCATTAATTTACCAATTTTTTGTTTAAATATATAAACATTTGAAATGCACACTGTCATGCACAACGCTTGATGTTGACTAGCTGATAAACACTTTATGAAATGGAATAACAATTATGTTAATGGGCATATTATTTTATTTCGAAATCACGTGAAAACTGCCAAATTGCACCCCAAGATATTCACTATTATTGTCTTACATTGATTGTAAATACAATAATAAACAGGTCTGTGTGCCAATTTACTGCTGGATGAATGCCTCCCCAGTATGTCGTTCATGGGGCTTGTTTGACCATACTTCCTGCTTGTTAGCACAGGTTTGTGAAGGGGGGGGAGCAGAAGTGGATAAGATGTCACTACTTGTCACTGATGTTAGTCATAGCTTGAAATCAAACCAAGGTCACCCGGTTTATAGTGTTGTGTTCTCCACCCATACCTGCTGAATATAGAGGTATTTTTTTAATTTAAGATGTCATGTTTATACAGTTTTGTATTTTCATACATTAGCATAAGTTAACTTTAGGAAACGTTTTCAGTTCATTGGTTATCATATACTGTTAGAATTTAAACCTTTTCATGTATTTCAATTCTTAATTGGTCACACTGGCTTTGAGTAAATTTTGCATTTACATGAACCCCACTCCATGACCAATACTCTATTTGAAAAGCTTATAGATTTTAAATCATAAAAGGGGCCCTCAAGGTCACACGTGCCAATCCTTGAATGCACATTGTTGTGATGCATGAAGTTTTATGTTGTACATAATATTATAATTAAATATAAATTATTAAAAAGAGAATGCACTGAATTTCAGACTACTTCCATTTGTTTTCTATGAGGTGTTAAGCATTAAAATGCATTTCAACACCAGCACAGGACAGACTATAGATGTCAATTGAACTATGTAATGTTTGCTTTATGATGTTGGTATTCATGAAGCTGCTGAGCTACTTTTGCATGAAAACAAAATTTTTCTATGCCCATTCATGTCTACAAATCTCTCAGAAAAATGTTTTAGACAAAACACCAACGGTTTCTCCATAATTCAAGTAGGCCTGTTACAGAATAGCTGTTATAACAAAGGTGAGTGATTGAGCTAAACATTCAGAAATAAAGCATCATTTATTTTTTGTCATATAAAAAAATGTTACGTGAACAGAATTACACACAACAGCTGAGCACAGTACTGTAATTGCTAAATTGGAAATAGTTTTCTTATTCTTGGTTCTTTCAGTAAAGTCACGTAGAAGGGAAATAATAAAATAATATTTATATAAAACAGGTGTGAAATCTTTCTGTGGATTTCACACCTGATGATGATTGCTTGTGTTGCAGTCGAAACGTCGTGAGAATTTTTATTGTTTTATATTAATATTATTTTATTATTTCCCTTCTACGTGACTTTACCAAAAGAACCAAGAATATGAATCCCTGCAGTCACGAAAGCTTTAAATCAAGATTTTATAGTTTGCTTGTTAAGCACTCTCGTGACCAAGGCTGCAGAGGCGCAATATTGTGTGGTTCAGTATTGAGTTCGGGGTGTACCTGCGGCTGTCCGACTGGCATGTAGTAGCAGTCATTGAGCTCCACTTGAGTCTTAAAAGCCTCCAGGAAGAGGTCGCTGAGCGTTTGGTGGATGACCACGTTGCGAGCATTGCGTATTGGGGCATGCAACTTCTCTCGCAGTTCTCCATACTCTGTCGAGTTCAACCTGCCACCCGGTCATTTTGCACATTTGTTTATAGTATACAGTATGCTTTTTGTCCCACTCTTATGCAGGTTAATAAATCATGTTACCAAAAACTTAACATACCTTTGTTACTTTCAGGTAGCGATTTTGTCAATTGACTACTTAATTAAGGTCTCCCCACATGGTGCAGGTTGTGAATGTTATGTGACCACATTTCGTCACACTGGTCACTGCAGGTTGGTGATGGTAGGGAGCATATAAACACAGAAGATTGAAACAGTACAACAATCAGAATCTGTACTTATCCTGGAGAAGTCCAATGAGCTATGAAGGCTCTTTTCACAGATGTCCAGGACATAGATCTAATGTGCTGCCCTCTGCTGCTCACAACATAGCCTATGTAATTTAACGATACATATTTTATGCTTAAGGGCAGATATCCACATTGGATGATGAACCAGCTGGACTGAGTTCAATTCCTGGCCATGGCTACCATCAGTGGTGACTGATATCTACACCGGTCTTGCAGCCTCCCCACTTTACAAACCTGCAATGACCAGTGAGGTGAAGTATGATCAAACAAACCCCATAATCCATGTGGTGTGTGAAGACCTTCACCCAGTAGTGGGATGATAAATGGCTGTACGTCTTAATTAAAACATTTAACATCCCATTCATATTTGGAAAGTATGACAACAAGCAGTCTGCTTTAGCCGTTAAAATATTCATAATATTACTTGAAATAAATATGGCACTATTCATTGGGGAAAACCGAAACCCTGCTGCTTCATGATGGGTATGATTACAGTCACAGTAGGATCCCAAATATAGTTCAGTTAGCAATTTCAGGAATGCACGTTGCTTTATTAGTTATATTCATGATTTATTCAGGAATAAGTCAATGTTCACTGCATATAAATAGTTAAATTATCCCAATACAGCACACGTAATGTCATTTAGACAATGTGTTTAAAAACACTGTTGATAAAGTAAATGGGAGAAAATTGAATTACAAATAAAAAAACATTATCTATATACTGTCCTGCAAACAATTTACTGCCTTTAAAGACATTAAAAAATAACATAAGAGGAAAGGAGAAGGATCAATCAGGACAGCTTTTAAATGGTAATTATGATGCTAAACTGTTTAAAAAACAGATGGCACTTTGGTTGTATTGCTCTTCAGATTATTTACTTTACGTTAACTATTTATTCACATGTTGATGAAACACGTCCCTTTGCCAATATCTCGTGAAAAAAATCACTGGCAGTGGAAAATTTGAACTTGTGGGAAAAAAATATGAAGCAATCCTGAGATAATCAAATCGCAATATCTCAAACACATCATGTTGTTTGCAGGCCAGTGAAAACATTACTGTATCGTCTTTTATACACTTCAAGTACGCTAGTGAATGACATATATAGAAAATCTAAATATTACATAAAACATATTATCACATTACATAGATTCTGGCGAATTGCCCGATGATACTGAATGCAATTACCAGCGAAACGTTGTACTCAAAAAATTGTAAATGTTGTGGTTTCACGCTTAAACACACCGGTGGGCTAAAGCAGTGAACTATTTGTCTTTTGTCAATGTGACACTTTTTTTTTGCTGACTAGCCGTGTCGGGTGGTGGAGGGTTACGACACATTTATAAATAACGCGATCTAACCCAAAAACGTTGATTATGAATAGATTGTCCTCTTTTCAAATCTAGAATAGATTGTCCTCTTTTTCTTTACTTGAGTAACATGCCAATTTGCCAAAAAATATCAAAGCCACATCTATTGTGAAAGAAAATTACTCCCTAATAGGATACTGCAGTTAAAACCCCTAAGAGAGAATGTTGTGGGAAACATCTTGCGGTTAATAATTTGTTTATGATATGCATCACGATTTCTGAAGCTGCTGGCCCAGTTTAAAGTGCTTCCGATTATAACTGCTTTCTTAGTGACACCTAGTGGTGCCAAACGGTGGCCATAGAGAGAAAGCAAACTCCGTGTAGCTGGGGTAAACAGGGGAATAGGTACCCCTGTTCCAAATATCCAGGGTTCCAACGGGAGGTGGGGGAGGTATGGGGGGGGTGGGATTAACCATGGATAACCAAGCATTTTGTGACGAAGTTTCCATCAGAACAAGGGCGCAATCATTCGTTGCATGCCTCTGAAGGCAAGTCCTACAGTATTTCCCCAAACACGACATGTGTATGGGAAGGGAGGGACCCTGACTAGCACCTCAGCAATGCATTGCAAATAGCACTGCATCAGCATTTGCATTCATACTTGATTTGGCAGCAGGAGGTGGTCCTAAGCTCTCTTCAGCCACTTAACCCCGATTAATCCCGGATATTTGGAAGAATTTTGCTGAATAACTCCATGTATCTATGGTTCTAACCCCGAATAACTGTAAGTATTTGCCATATAACTCTGTTTAATCATGGTCTGGACCACTAATATTTGGATGGCCATGCCCTCTGGATATTTGGAAGAGACAACTCATTTTAAGCGATTCTGAGAAACGAATTCACGGAAAATTGTCACAGATAAATTGAGTTTGACCGCATTTAGAAATATAAGATAATGCAGTTCAAATAACATTCAAATGTTTTGGTAGGGATGAAACGATGTAATCTGTAATTCTAAACCACATAGAACCTACATAATAACCAGTATTTTTATTTGTATATTTTATATAATGGTTTTACATGCCATCTGCAGAGACAAGTAGCCACTACATTCAACTTGCTAAAAAATATATATTATTGAATCGAAACACCACCGAATTGCAACAATTTATCAAATTATTGGGAGGTGAATCATGAAATCACTAGTTTTTAGTTTAAAATGAAGAACATAAGCGGTATAATTTTTTGTGGCAATTCATGGGAACATCTGTCAAAGAGAATGAAGAGGAAGCTCTGCCTCTTGGGTCTTCTCACCTAATATCGAAAGCTGGCACGCCTGGGGTGATGCTGACCACGCGTATGGTGAGGAACTGAATGGCAGAACTTGTTTCAGGCGACAGCGAGTGCTGTCGTGACTCGGTCAACGTCAGGTGTATATCGCGCTGCTGAGCCACGTTCACTTTGTAAGGAGTCACCTGCAGCCACACATGATAAACACCACACTGGTCCGATGTATATCATGTACATTAAGTAATTTATGTATTTTTAAAATTCAGAGTTCAGTTTTTATTCAAGAGCAATGAGCTTTTACCTTCACCACCCAAGAATCTGTGACAATGACTCTTGCCTCCGGAGGACCCGTAGCAAACTTGTCAATGCGTCGGAACTCTGTGTTAAGCGACACAGCAGCAGTGCGCCAACTCATGGAAGAGGAAACATGGCGGGCAAGCGCCCGTGCAAGTGGATGGTTTCCCCAGCCATTCCGTGACCAAAAATATCCCAGCGTGCCCAAGCAAGCAGGCACGATGAGGGAGACGAGCAGGTACATCCTCCAGCTGTCACTGGCCTTGTGGAAGTAAAATAGTTGTGCTTTTGGTACAGTGAAGCCCATTCCGATGTAGTAACCTAGATAGCAGTGAAAACATAAAAATTTGTTTAGTTTTCATTTTTTATCAGAAAATAGTTTATTGGATTCACATACACTTTTAACAAAAAATTCCCATAGCACTATTTTACATGTAACATAAGAGCTTTATCTTATTTAATGAACAGCGCCTACTTGGCATTGGTTATTTTAACATCTTATAAATATTACCAATTCAAACAGTTGTATTAATAATTACAAATATCAGGCAAAACCACATGTAAATAAAATAGCTAGCTATGTTAATTATGCATCCCAAACTGGTATCGCCCAAACCTGTGGTTTCTAACCTGACCACGGGTGGTCTTGCAAGGCTTTGGTAAGTGGTCCGTGGAATGAAAACAGATACTATGATTTAGATTGGTTATAATTTCTAAAGATATGCTATTGGTGCATAGTAGTCTGCGAAAAATGTTTAAGGGATGACAGTGGTCTGCAAATCCAGAAAGGTTGGGAACCAATGCTCTATAATATGACCATATATTTAGTAAAACCTTAACCTACAACCTATAAATTTCATATAAAAACACCAACATGTCACAGTCACAAAAACAGCAAGATCAGTTGATTTACAACACGAGCAAGCTGCGCTCACGCATACCAAGAGGCAGGAGGGCATGCACAACCATGGTGGTGGTGGTGCGCCGTGTATGGTAGCGCACAAAGTCGAGATCCTCACTACCCAGCCACCCCGAGAAGAGCCCTTGCACCGTGATTCCCGCCGAGCGGAACTCCGTGGGGGTTAGCAAGAAGCATACACAAAAAAGGAGGTAGGCAAGTGTGAACACCATCTCTGGGGACTCCATGGCTCTGTAAAACAAGGTGGGGGAAAGAAAAAAAATCTGTAGCCATAATCTAGTAGTGTAAAATACTAAACGCATTCATGTAAAATTTTAAGTTGTACAGTTTCAGCAATTACAGTTGTTATTTAATGGCAATGTGAAACAACAGGTTGCTGAATACTACTGATGTGTAGTTCTCAGAAAATGTATTGGATCATTAGCGTAATTAATTTGTGTAAATTTTCTTCTTTGCTGAATAATTCTAAGCAGGTTTTGCATCACATGTACTTATCATATTGGGGAAGGATGATGAGTCTTTAACATACCAAAAGGTTCGATGTAGTGAAATAATTGACTGTCATTTGCCTTCCCAGGAAAGCCTCATCGAGAATACTTTTTCAGGAGGGTTCTACATTCAGATGTTTGGAAAATTATTTTTGAGAGCACTTTGTATTCGGGAGATAATGTTTTTTTTTACTTATTTTACCTAAATAATATCCAATTGAATGCGGGAAAACGAGTTCATTTTCCCCAAATGCTGTTCTATAGCCTTCCAACCACCTCAAAACTCATGCGGTTTGGAAGTTTCACATCCAAGTAAAATCTACAAAACATTGCCTCCAAATTACTGGATGAGACGTGTGCCACAAAGGCCTGGTACATTGGAGTTAGACAACTATGGAAATCGATCAGGATAGTCCTAAACGTAAACACACTGACCACCAAGGGGATGTCGTAATTTTATGCACAAATTACAAATGACCGTACACACTCAGAACATATCAATACAAAGTCACTGCCACGTTGATACCACTGTTAAATCACATTGACCACCAGCATGTTAGACGTAACCCAATATCGCCAAACTGGAGCCCCAATTTGTCCAGCATGGACTGTGACATTTCATCGTCACCTACAATTAACTTAGTCGTTTTCACACTCTCACTGGCCAGAAGACTTCTCATGACATTAAATGTCAAACCACTGCTGGGTGAGAACCTCTCCATGTCGTGCGGGTCGTAAATGTTATTCGATCATACATCAGGCTGGTCAGTGCTCTTGCACATCATACCACACTGCAATGAAACTTCACTGCACTGCCCTCTGCTGCCCAACGTAACCTCGCAGCAGCCGATGACCAGCTGCCACGACACGGTTGTCATCCAGCACAGCACAATCGCAACCTCAATGTTTGCCGAGCTTCTTAGATGTTGCGCACTCTAGGTGAGATTTGCTGTAGGCCCTAAATGCAAATCGCAGTCCTGTATCCGGGCCCCGCGGTTGTCTTTGGCATATTGAGTCGACGTCGTCTCTTGCAACTCACAGTCGCTGACGCCGCCACGACGAGCAACCAGTTTCCTTCCACCGCCTCCTCCTCCTCCTCCACTACCCCTAACACCAACCCCGACAGACCAGCGCCGGCTGCTCCCACACCAGCGCCACTGTTTTGACTTGTTGCGATGACGTCACATCCACGGGTAAGAGCAAGTGTTGACGTCACCGATAGGGGGCGGGTGGTGACGTCATTATAGGGAGCGAGTGGGGACGTCACGCACGCAGAGCGAGTGGAGAGCGGTGTCACGCCCATAGGATGTCAGTGGTGACGTCATCCACGCGGAGAGAGAAGTGACGTCACCTGTAGTGAGCGAGTGGGGAGCGGGTGGAGTCACCCACGGAGTTGTGAGTGGTGACGTCACCCACTCGGAGAGAGAGGTGACGTCACCTATAGTGAGCGAGTGGGGAGCGGGTGGAGTCACCACGGGGTTGAGTGGTGACGTCACCCACGCGGAGAGAGGTGACGTCACCTATAGTGAGCGAGTGCGGAGCGGGTGGAGTCACCCACGGAGTTGTGAGTGGTGACGTCACCCACGCAGAGAGAGAGGTGACGTCACCTATAGTGAGCGAGTGGGGAGAGAGTGGAGTCACCCACGGAGTTGTGAGTGGTGACGTCACCCACGCGGAGAGAGAGGTGACGTCACCTATAGTGAGCGAGTGAGGAGCGGGTGGAGTCACCCATAGGATGTGAGTGGTGACGTCATCCACGCGGAGAGAGAGGTGACGTCATCCGTGGGGAGCGGATGGTGAACAATTTTCCTATTGAATGTTTCTGATTTATTGCAATTTCCACCAGTCCATCGACGGGCAGAAAAGATAGTTAACAAATTGTCTGATGACAAAGTTTTTCAATTGTATGACTCGTTACCTAAGTGTAGCTATTCAGTAACAAATCCATTAAAAAGTACCTGCTGAGATAAAAAAAAGGTTATTGTAATTTTATTTGAATATTATTTTCAAGTGATTTGTTTACCTTTGTTATATTTTGCACTCCCATCGTGCTTTTGTGTTGTAACTTTCTGACCAGCCCCTACTGGACATCTGTGAAAAATAACTTTTCAGCTCATCGGATTCATCCAGGATAAATACATCTTATTAAATCGCCGTACGAATAGTTACCTAAGTATATCTATTGAGTAACATTTTTTGTACTAACTTTGATAAAAAGGGGCCGTCCATAAATGACGTCACGCGATTTTGGACGATTTTTGACCTCCCCCCCCTCGTCACATGGCGTCACAAAAAGTCAGACCCCCCTTCAAATATGACGTCACAAAGCTCTCTCCCCCCCCCCCCAAATATAAAACATGCTTCAAATCGCTTTAAACTATTGTCATTGTAGTGCGTATTTAATGTGCCGCTGCACCCTGATGTTGTAGGTGAAAATATTTATTAAAAAGTATATTTAATTAAGTAAAACGTGTTGTCTATATTTATTTAAAGTTGCGCATTTTGATGTGACGTCACATTTCTAAAATTCCCCCCCCCCCCCGCTCGTCACACATCGTCACAAATTCTAGATTGAAGCTTTCGTGACTGCAAGGGTTCATACTCTTTGGTTTTTTCGGTAAAGTCACGTAGGTAAAACAATCAATAAAATAAATGAAATTTTAGTTTTCATTTATTTTATTGATTGTTGTAGGTAAAACAATCAATAAAATAAATGAAATTTTAGTTTTCATTTATTTTATTGATTGTTGTAGGTAAAACAATCAATAAAAGAAATGAAAATTTAGTTTTCATTTATTTTATTGTTGTAGGTAAAACAATAAAATAAATGAAATTTTAGTTTTCATTTATTTTATTTTATTGTTTTACCTACGTGACTTTCCGAAAAAACCAAAGAGTATCGTCACAAATATCTGACCCCCCCCCTCTTCCTAGGTGCGTGACGTCATTTATGGACGGCCCCAAACTAATGACAGAAGGACCTATTCTTTGGTTCTTTCGGTTGTCACGTCTAAAGATAAAATTATAAATTAAAATAATAGCATATTACGACGTTTCGATTGCAACACAAGCAATCATCATTAGGCATAAAAGAAATAGCAACAAAAATATAACTAGAAAACTATAGACAGACATACAGTTTTCTAGTTAGATTTTTTGTTGCTATTTCTTTTATGCCTGATGATGATTGCTTGTGTTGCAATCGAAACGTCGTAATATGCTATTATTTTAATTTATAATTTTATCTTTAGACGTGACTTAACCGAAAGAACCAAAGAATAATTCTTGCAGTCACGAAAGCTCCAAAATTAAGACAGAAGGACCGTTTTACCGAAACCTTACAGGATGTGACGTCGGGGGGTCCCCCGGAAGTATTTAATGGGGGGTGCGGTAAGGTGGGGGGACTCTGCTGGGGGTCACCACTTCTCGCCTGGGCCCCACGTGTTGTGGTAGAGGTGTCCACGTGTTGTGGTAGAGGTCGCCGGTCGCGTGGCGTGCCCGCTGCACTCGCTGTCCTGCGTGGCCGAGGCGGCCGCTGTGAGCTCTTGGCAGTCAACGCGTAAGCGACGTGAGCTGTTTAAGATGATTGTGTTGTTCGAAGCAATTGGTTGCTAGCGCGAATTGCGAGAAGCTCACACAGGGTGTTTGAAAGACAATTGTTGTCGTTCACAAAGTAGTTGCTATGAAGAAGTGCCGTTGTCCGAAACGTCGCCTATTTTATAGATGTGTTTTACTTTTAAGGCAGTGGTGTTATTGACCAATGTGTTTTTAATTGTGTCGATAGATTTCGGGAGCGACTTTTTGGGTTTTCCTAACGACAGCAATTTGTCAAAACTTCTGCCCACCAATACTGTCTGGGACAAGGACAATACCGCTTCTGCTTCCGTTTTGGCTTCCAGAAACGGTATTAAGGATTCTGTATAAGAGTTTGCAACACTGGGTAAATCTAATTAAAGGTGATGACATCGCATGTTAATGATTTTATGGCTTTGACTGTTTTATATCAACTGTAAATGGCTAACCCTTGGTGGTGTTGGTGTCGTATGTGCAAGCGGCTAAAATAGAAATGTATTGCATTTAATGTTAGTACGATATTTCTCATGAGAATTACAATACTACGGCAATTAATCAACTCGCCAGTAATAATCTTGATTGTGTCTGACCCCGTGGATGACAACCTAAGCCTAGTTCGTGCTTGAATGGGTGACCACAATGCACAAACAGCTTGTCTTGGAGCTGCAGGCCACGAGTTGTAAAGTCAGATGGCAATGCAGGACAAAATCACTGTTCTGTACTTCTATGCCTCCACGTCTGTGCTCTTCGCCTTCACCAACCCGTACTGACTAGCTTGTGGTCAAATAATGCCTACAACCCAGATCCCTTATTTGCCTCGTCCTGCAAATGGATTGGAAACAGGGCTGTGGCATGCAAATCCATATAGTCATTATAATCTCAAGAACTTGCAAATTATAGGAAACAAAAGGTGAAAAGTGTATTGAGCATATAGAGATTAATAATACTGTAGTACTGTTTACACATGAAAGCTAATGAAGTTGCAATACTTTTTCAGGAGGGTCCTGCATTGTATTGTTTGGCAACTTTAGTTAATGAGTGTTTTACTTTGGCGAATTTATAGTGTTTCATTCGATGAATGCTTGTAATTGTACTTAAATAAAGGAATCTGTGGATCAGCGGAACAAATGCAAAATCAGAGACATCGACTGTAGAGAAGTAAGTGGGCTTGGGCAGGACACATCAAAAGACGTGATTATGGCCAATGGACTGAGACTGGTGACAGATGGAAAGAAAATGTACCCAACAAGTACAACTACTAGAGGTAGAACGATGATATATCTTCAGGAGTGAGGTATATTGTGGCATTTTAGAAGCTTGCGGGATGTGAATGGAGATATGCAGAGACTTTTAACCAGCAGTGGATACACAATGTATGAATGATGATGTTGGAAGACACCTTGCATTGACCTGCTGGCTGCAGGATCAGACTCTGAACATGGACGGCGTGGAGGCAGCGCAGACGAAGGTGCAGGATGCCGTGAGTGGCATGGTGGACAAGCTGGAGAGGGAACACATCCGTAAGATGCAGGTAAACCATACCAAAGTATAAACCATACACTTGCACTGTTTTCCTGTACAGAAGCTACAGCAACTAGGTTGGGGACGTTTACATGTGCACTATGCTAGAGGTGTCGGCAAATAGGTGCTTATAGGTTGATTTTACCGATTGCAGTGTCTTATTACCGCTAAGATTTCTAAGAGTATGGAATATTTGATATGTTTCTGTGTGCTGTTCTCCAGGCACGCATGTTCCGCTGCAGTGCAGAGTGCTGTGAAAACAGCGCAGCGTCAATGTCGTCTGTACACCATTGTATCGAGAGATGCCATGCTCCTCTGGTGCAGGCCCAGAGTATTGTCACCAATGAACTGGAAAGATTTCAGGTTTGCTCTTGTTTCCTGACCATTTGTCCAATCAGCCTTTTATGTGCATCCTGCATTGGTTTGATTTTTGTATCATTCACACAAATATTTTCTATATTCCTGTGTTCAGAACCGCTTGCAGCGCTGTGCAATGAGCTGCAATGACAAGGCCAAGGACTTGTTTGACTCGGGGACCAAGGAGCAAGTCGTAAAACAGCAGCTGGAGTCGTGTGTGCGCTCTTGTGCAGATGAACACCACGATCTCATCCCCAGTGCGACTCGTCGATTGCACGACACTCTATCGTCCTTGCCACAGTAACTGTCCTCACCAGATGAAAATGTGGAGGAAGAGCAGTCGGTGAACTTGCTGTCTGGAGGGAAGATATTAAATCTGAAATCTTGTATGACATTGCTAGGGTAGTGAGGGTGGTTTGCACTCAGGCTATTGGTGCATGTACAAAGAAATAATTTAACCTAAATATGAGCTGACTTGTCAACAGCTTTTGCAACATCTTTTTACATATGTTTTTTTGGATACTGTGTGTGGTTTATTGTGTTAAGTCTAATGTTAATGACTTGGGCCCTGACAGCTATTATATTTTATTGACCTATGTGATGATTGAAAATGCAGATTACACTTGTCAATAAAGGAGAATGTGAATTTATTTAACATTTTCTTGTCACTATTCTACAATTAAGGAAAGACCTGTGTTTGCCATTTCCTAGCATGTAGCAGTGTTGGCTCTTGATTATGAAAATCAACATGAAAATGTAGCTCATTCAGAAAAAAATAATAAACTTTAGAAAATCTAATTACTATATAATTGATTTATTAATATACAGTAATACATTATTCATACATTGTACAATGCAAGTTAAGAGATTAAATCTCTTACATTTACTTCGTGACCAAAAATTGTATCCTGTTCAGAAGACACCTTGGGTTCCCTGAACCAGTGATGCAACTTTTACATTTCCCTGACAGGAGCCACATTGCTGTTTAATGTTCACATGCTACATATACAGATAATCCTCGACTTATGAATATCCGCACAGATTTTTTTTTACATCAACAGAACTCGCACTTTTGAAAAGAACCGCGGAACTACTGTTAAGCGGAGTGATCGTCAACAAGTTGTGTTGAGTCACAGCAGCCTGCTAGGAGTGTGTGTGAAAGTGTGTTTGGGGAGCCGGCAAAAACAACCCCCCTATCTTCCCGTGGTGCTGGATGGCAACGCTGTGGTGGGTAGTGCCGTGGTGGGAGAGACAATTTAGATTGACCATTCCCCTCATGGCATTTGTAATCACCACAGCAGACAAATGGGGGAACCTAAGCCTAGTTCGATTCCTGCTCATATCCAACACCGGTGATGATTATCTGATCCAGTTCTGGGCCTCCCCTAGGTCGACTCAACCGCGATGTACAAACATCGCCACTGGGGAGTCAAAGGTGGCCGGGCGTGCCGGTGGGCCAGGCTATACGGGGAGATCGTTAGTGTGTTTGTATGCAATTGTCCCCACAATTGTATACACACACAGTCATCATCATCAGGACTCGAGGTAAGTGAAAATAAAACTAGATTTATTTCTCTGTTACTTTATTTTGCTTCTATTTACTATACAGTATATTACAGTATCGCATGCAAACGAACATGTTTTCTGATTTGTGTATTTAATGCGTCCCATTTTTCTGCAACTTGTACACTATTGTTACACTGACCGTGCGTGCCTTTAAAGACGACGTTATTGTTCCGACTTACGAACGGGGCTCGTGCATAATGCACGGGCATAATATGACTTTAAACCCCCCGCCAAATCTCCTACGCATTTCACAAGTAGTACTAATCGCATATCTGCATTTCCTATGAATATGCTAAATTCCTCTTGATATGCAAATTATTTTGTCAAGGCGCTCTCCCCCCTCCATCCCAGCAGCTTAAATAGACGCACCAAGCCTGGGGTGTGTCATTCAGACTCTGTCTTATCGACAGACCTGTTCTCCACCTGAGGACGGCTGCTTGCGTTGTGGCCGAAACGTCGTGAGAACTATTTTATTATATTTTATTTTTATTATTTTATAATATTTTATTTTTATTATTTTATTATTTCCATTCTACGCGACTTTACCGAAAGAACCAAGAAGATGAATCCCTGCAGTCACGAAAGCTTTAAATCGAAATTTAGGGGCTCAAGAACTTTAAGTTTTCGTGGGAGGCACAAGGGGCGGGGCGGGGCTTGGCGGGGGCGGGGCTTGGGAGCGCGGGGGGGCGGGGCTTGGGAAGGGCGGGGCGCGGGGGCGGGGCTTGAGATCGCGGGGGGCGGGGCTTGGGAGCGTGGGGGGCGGGGCTTGAGAGCGCGGGGGGCGGGGCTTGAGAGCGCGGGGGGCGGGGCTGTGCACGTCACGTGATCCCGAGCGGAAGTGCGTCACGTAGTGGCGGCCACACTCCGCGGCCTCCTCTCGCCTCTTACCCCGTGGGTCCCTCAGACGCTTCGCGACTTTCATTTCACGACTCGAATCGAGTGAAAGACCGCGTCCACCATGAGCAAGGCGCATCCCCCCGAGCTCAAGAAGTAAGCAGGCGGTCACGCGGTCCCACGGCAAGCCAACGCGCGGTCAGCGCTGGCGGGGAGTTTGTGCGCGGGAATGAGCGCTGCGGCCTGCGTGGGCTTAGGCGAGGCGCTGGTTGCGGCCTATCACTCGCCATTAACAATTGTCTGTGTCGCGTGCGGTGCTTTATTTGTTGTTAATTACCGTGTTTAGTTTACGCAGGAATGGACTACGGCCGTAAATTGCTTCGATGTATGCGCCGAGCACGACTTGGTTGTTAGTGTCGCCAGCCTGCTGCTGGCTTCATGCGTGAGTGAATGAATGAACGGGGCCGCATGTGTATGTTCGTCCCTAATGTGTGCGCCTCCTTGTGTCTTTCTTGGCTTTAGGTTCATGGACAAGAAGCTGAGCCGTAAGTAATTGGCGACGTTTTTTTGCCGGGCATGAAAAATGTCAAGCGTATCATAATTAAGATTATTTGACCAAACACTGTATCGCGCTTAAGTGCTTTTGATTTGTTTTATTTTATACTCTGGAGCTTTGTCGACTCTAGTGATTACATTATGTTTACAGAAATTTTGCGAATTCATGGCCTCTGATTAACTTGATTGTTGCCTTGCAGTGAAGTTGAACGGGTCGCGGACGGTAACGGGCATCCTACGCGGATTCGATCCTTTCATGAACCTGGTGATGGACGAGTGCTTTGAGCTGTGTCAGGGCGGCGTGCAGAACGATGTTGGCATGGTGGTGAGTGAGCAGCCACTGGCATCGTGCTTTCATGCAATTTTAATCAGAATAATCAGCCTTTATCAATCTAAGCTATACTATTTTTTATTTACCAGGTCAGGCCCACTGAGCTATACTGTATAGGACTTTTTCGGAGATGACCTGGCCACACATGATAGCCAAATACTCAAAATTGATCGTTATAAATGTGTAAGGAAAAACAGGAGGTCCCAGAGAAAAATCCACGCGACCATGGGGATAACATGCAAACGCCAAATATATAGGTGTCAGTGTCGGGATCGAATCCATGACCTGTGTACCAGGCGAGGTAGTTAACATTTTGCCACAGTGGCGCCCACTGCTCGGTGCTTGTTAACTTGCAACTTCGATTTTGTCAAACTTCACGGTGGTCGGGTGTTTGGGAAGGGTCACTGCATTGAATTGACCATTGCTACTTAGAACGCACCGACTATCTAAAGAAATAAATGATTATGAAGAGTGACAACCTACTCTATCATCGAGGGAAAGTAAGACAGTAATTATGGAGGAGTGGGATTCTAGTCTCCGTGCAAATTATACGTAGATTTTTGGGGTACAAGATTTAATTTGATAGTGCCCAGATAAGCCAGAATATCAGTACGTTTTTGCAGAAACGTTTTCAATCATTTAATGAGTCATATTTTTGTAATACTTTAGCTTGTTTGCGTTTGTTTCTATAGCTGAGAGTGAAGCTGTAGTGCTAGAAATAAAATGTTCTATGGCGACATTTGCCATTGAAGCAGTGTATATTTAAAAGTACCATGGTAGAGCTGTGTTTTTATATAAAGCATCTGTGTTTTACCTTGGTCAGTTTTAAAATGAATTTAAATTTTTTGCCACTTAATATACCTTACGCAATTGTGAATAAAAAAAGTAATGTTTGGTTACAGAAGAATCACTTTCTGACATTAATTGAGCTCTGTATTTTTTTTTCAACAGGTGATTAGAGGAAACAGTATCATCATGTTGGAGGCCCTGGAGCGAGTATAGCTCTCCATGAGCTCTTCATGTTTATCATGTCAAGCGTTCATAGAAACAGTTTCATAATATTCTTGGAAAATAATACATTGATGCAATTGTTTAGATGCAGCAAGGATTGTTTGTACGTAACATAAATGTTCCCTTGTTTATACAATAAAGTTGTAATTTTTACGTTGTGCATTCAATCGTTTTGTGGGTTTATTAGAGTATATTGCAACCTTTTGGTTATTCGCATCTTGTATTTTTATTGGTTTAGAATGCCAAAAAACATTATTCAGCCATGGTCTATCCACGTGTAGATAAAAACATTCACAAACCGTCACTATCTCATGGTTTATCGTAAAAGTCCATCTACTGCACATGAGATTATTTCATTGCTCAATGATAATTCTCAGTGTGGACATTCAGGTGTTGCACCCTCCCTTGTCATTGCTGTTTCTTGACCTCCATCAATCATGCGTTACAGCAATGTGTCCTGCCCCAAGCCCACCACGATATAGAAATATGAAGCTAAATGTTTACGATCTCTAATGCATGTTTTCCGCCAGTAAATCCAAGCTTGCACCTCTCCATGCTTTGTGTACTTGGCTTTTTATTTATATTATCTACTAGCTTGTATACCCGGTGTTGCCCGGGCCAAAGAATATTTCAAAACTATTCAAAATCTAACAGCAGTGCGTACCGACTGGTGGTACCTGCTATGATTACAGCAGTGCATACCGACTGGTGGTACCTGCTATCACTACAGTAGTACATGCTGACTATATAGCACAAAGTACTCATCTGACAAGTGGCGTGGTGAAGCCTAGTCCCGTGTAGAGCCTCCGGACTCACCGAGATTGTCCAGCCGGCCGAGGTGGCACCTTGGCAGGCTGGGGCTGGGCTGCTACCCCTGACCCCCCCAGCCACGATCTCCTCGGCCGCTCTGCAGTAATATCTACAGCCTATAGTGGTAGCATCTACCACTTTATAGTAGTAACTGCACGCATCGGGGTGGGGGGGACATCACACAGTGAAGAATTAACGTCAGCGTTTAGTGTATTTGTATAGCATTTTTAACGCGAAATAAAATGTCCCCCTCCCACCAAAGGCGTGCAACTTGGCATGGGTCGTCCGCCCTACCAAAGGCGCGTGAGTTGGTATGGGCGTGCACGCGTCATAAATAGCGCACAAAAATCTCATGAAATCGTTAATTAAACTAATTTAAAGTTGACGGATGTGAAAAAGGAATAACACTTGCTGACGGCGGGGCTTATGGCGTGGTACCTGGCTTTTTATTTTACGTAAACCCCACCGTTGAGCCAAATCCTTTGCAAGCGCACGAATACAAACCCACAATTTTTTTTTATATAAAAGATAGATGTTTGAAATCCTTGTCCTAGCAGGTAATATGCGTTGGATTATATCTTTAGGAACATTTATATACTGCTTTTAATTATTTAGTAAAACATTTCCAAAAGCACTGTTATCCATCTACATCTTGATTTTATTATTCCCAATACACAACACATTCCTGCGGAGGGAGCTGGTAGGAACGTTGGGTTGCTCGGTCAATGGCCAGGGTCAACGGCCGACTGTGAGGGCGGGCACAAGCCGGCGTGAGTAGGTTAAACGTTGAGTTTTATAATGTCACCACGGGGTGACCAGCCCCTCCCCATCCAGCCCCACCCCTACCACCCCCCACCCAGCCCCACCCTCCCCATCCAGCCCCTCCCCACCCAGCCCCTCCCTGCACGACGGACGGACACAATAATCCCCTGTGGGCTGGTGTAACCAGGAGGTTCCTACCAGTATTATCTCTCCTAGGCATACATACTATGTGTTTTTCACTTGTCTCTACAATGGATATATTTGTTTTCCAAACGTTTGCATGATGTTTTTCCCCTCATTTGAACCTTATGGCGAGACCCCGGAGTCACATAAGCCCCTGGCTCTGGCATGAACATAAAGTCAACAAAGACTTTGGTCTTTTTCACCAATGGGTTTGAAGGATGGTGGAAAGTGTTGTCTTGTTAAACTATGCCTTTAAAACTGAAAATTATTGCCTGCAGTAGCTATTTAAATACACTATCGAAAAATTATTTACACCCCTCTGTCAATCATCGTGTTTCTCTGTGGATTTGTGAACACTATGTTAATAGTACATACAATAGTACGCGTTTTCAATGCGCTGTTCATATTGTAACAAGCGTTTTTACCAGTGTTACTCTACAGAGTAGTGGGTCACCGCTCCTCTTATCTGCATTGATACGAGTGGTATGTGGGGCTATGGCTTAACCGCAAAAAAAAACTATCTGCATAGATGCATACTGACAAGAGAAGTATGAATTATCAAACAGGTTGAATTAACAGTGCAACGCATCTCATCTGTTAAATATCTGCAGGTAATAGGATTGTCATCGATTGATCCTGGCTGCAGACATTGGTAGGTCACAAATAATAATGAAGATAGAGCACTATGAGACCTCATTTACCAGTGGCAATGGAGACTAGGCTCTAAGAAAAGCTATCTTGGGTGTGGACCAATCAACTTCAAGGACAGTGCATATCATTATTTTTGTTTGCATTTTGACTGCTTGTGTTGTGGTTATTGCAAACATGATCCCTTGTATAAATGTGTCAGTTTTTGTACCAGTTGAAAGGGTAAAAACCTATTACGAAGATAGAGCAGTTTCACTGTATAATGCATACCGTTATGACAAATAAAGAACTTAAGTCGTGTAGGCAATTTAAGCAGCTTTGAATACCACTCATGATCCTGCCCATACCCGAGCATGGAGTGCATTCGCTTGTTGAGCTCTTCTGCGCATTCGTCCTCGCTGCTGCGCTTGGGCATGACATGACAACAGAATGATCTGCGCCAGGCGGGTCGCGGCGTTGATGTACGGAGTCGCCAAAAATTAATGTATTAATTACAATTTTGACTTCCTTTTATTCGGGACCCCGGGGTCCCGCCATAAGGTCAATTTATATAGAGCCCAATATTAGGCTGTTCCTTTCCTGCAGTTAATTGCTATTGATAGTTATTTTTTTAATACATATGTCTATTTCTCTACTCCAGTTTTCACAACATAGTATTGCTGAATAACGGGATTGTGTGATTTCTTATCAAACTTGCCGATTAATATATATTTTTGTAATTGATGCAATCGTGGTGTAGCTGTTACAAATTTGGAATAGGTTTTTCTAGATTCATTTTAGGCCTTGTTTTTTTTGAGAGATTGGACGACTGCAACGATTTCCACTGAGTCAAACAACTTTTCAGTCTCAAAAAAACTAGGCATACTATCGGAAACTAATAGTTTGTAATCGATGGTTGAAACCTTTTGCTCAGAACTGCGTTTAAAAACAAGCTTAACCAGTGAAGTTAATGTTATGTGCCATCGTTTTTAAGTGCAACCGAACTTTGTGAATTGCCATTCACTTTCTGTACCATTTACTTTCGGTGTCTGATTGGTAGCAAGCATTTAGATGGTATATTATACTTTAAAACAGCCTGTCAACTGCATGCACCTAAATTTAATGCAAATTTTGTGTGGGGAAAGATAACTTAAAAACATTGGTTCCAGCAAATCATTGGTTAACTTTTTGTTGGTAAAGGCACTAACCTTTGGACTTTGACTTTGCTTACGCAGGACACTACTTTTAACGGCTACCACTCCCAAAGTTTCATCAGATATATAGTTACTGTGACTAAACACACTTGCACTTGAGTATAAACACGGAAAACGTGTATATGCATGCAGTATATACCGTCTCAATACATGAACACCCAAAGACACTGAACTTCTTATCACCTTTACATTTGAAGGTAAGCAATTTGTTGTGCTTACTGTGTTTGCACATAATCAAGACATGGGTGTTTGCAAAGTACAAGTAGCAAACATTGCGGGTGAGTTAAAGCAATTAAAATGTCATACATTTGATATCACATTGGCACTGCCGGTGTGGATGTTGTAGTGTAAAATCAGAGGTCGCCGGTTCGTTTAAACTCTCGGCACAGTAGTTGAAACAATTGCGTGTCTTAAACACGCGTGCTTCTGTCCACCCAGAAGCAGAAATTGGAAGTCAAATTTAGGACCAACTTAAGTCCCGATTGACAAACTTCAAACATCAAGCTACAAGGGTAATCGGTGAGGGAAATAAAGTTTTCCACTAGCGCATCGGTCGACAGCCACAATTGTGTGCGAGCACACAGTATGTATGTATGTATGTTGAACTTCTTTCGCCCGTATGTAGCCAACCTTGCTAATTAGAGGTTCAGGGAAAGACAACAAATTTAACTCAAAAAGCAGTTCTCAAGAAATGAGTTTTCAAACTCGATTTAAAAGTGCATGTCTATGATAACAGTGGCATTATTTTCGGACGACAACAATACGTGTGTACACCACGCGGTTTACTTGGCAGGTAGCAATGTAAAGGTGTAAAGTGTGGATACTCCTACCCCCCTCTCTCTATTTAAGGCCTCGACACAGAGACGCTGTCTTTCTGTGTGCCTATGTGTGTGTGTATCTCTCTTTGTCTCTGTGTGAGTCTCTCTCTCTGCTTGTGTGTTCTGTCTGTGTGTCTCCGTGTCTATGTTTTGTCTCTCTCTCAAATTTAGCAATCTTTGGAAGAACGTGATCAACCAGGTAGGGTGTTGACTGTTGTGTTGTCCGACTCTCTGTGTTGTATTGCATTATATTTCCAAGTTGACTATGTTTGTTTTCTCATTCATTTTTCTATGGTTGCTTGTGTTGCAACCGAAACGTATTCTATTATTTAATTTAATTTATTTTTACGTGACTTTACCGAAAGAAACAAAGAGTAATTGCTGCAGCCACGAAAGCTTAGAATCTAGTTTACTCCTACCTCTTCAACGATGCCTCGCCAGTGGACGTGAGTGACGAACGGGCTGCACCTGTATCTTTGCGGGTGTTCTGTTCAGCACGCTGGCTAGTGACCATGTTGCTGTTGCTGCTGGGAGCAGCCTCGGTGCTGCTGGTGGTGTGGTGGCTATTTCGTGATGATCCCCAAAAGCTGTTTGGGGTCTACAGCCAACCCGGCAAGTTCTATCACATCAAATACGCGTTCTTCTACTGCTTATACACGCTGCGCCAGGTACCTTGCACCTTTTATCAATCTCGTTTTTATCTTTTGCACACAATAGCCGGCCTCGACAATAAATGTGTTCTTGAAACTCACCACTAATTAAACATACTTTGTAACAGCTAAAGTCTGTCGTTGATGTTATGTTGAAGCATGCTAATACATTTTTGTGTTAAAGTGAAAATTTTAAAAGTGCTTCTAGAGCGTGAGAGTAGGTTCTCATACAAATGAAAAATATTGCTCTGTGATGCTTTCCAGTGGAGAAACAAACGTGAGCAGAATGTAATTGGGCAGGCTGGGTACGGCAGGAGGTCACGAAGCACGCCTGCCCAGATGGAATGTACACAGCCACTCTCGAACAACCCTAAGGTACGCTGACCTTGTCAAAGAAATGTAGCCACATTGCAACTCTGCACCACCCGACACGGCCAATCAGTAAAAATGTGTCACGTTGACAAAGACAAATAGTTCACTGCTTTAGCCCACCGGTGTGTTGAAGCCACAAGATGGCGAATTGCCCGATGATGCATCCAGCATCATCGGGCAATTCGCCATTTAAACCCAAAAACGTTGATTATGAATAACATTGGTTGCGAAAGCCTACGTGTTAAATTGCAACTCTGCTTGCAACAGAAAACGCACGTGTGTGCTTATCGTATGTTGATATGCACATTTTTGTCCTGTTATCAATCGATGGATTTGTGTTTTTTACTTTTGTTCAGGCCATTGATGCAGTTTATTTCAATGCAGCCAATAAGCAAGGATGTTATCTTGTGGCGGCCACGGCTCGACGGCCCAACAAAGTCATAAACGGCTTTATCATGATGAAGGTAAAGTTCAAGGTCTAATATGTCCCTGGTAAAAGTACCGTGCCGGTCAGCAGTTGGTTCGGAATTATTTATTTGATTAATAATGCATGTTGGAATAACTTCATATACATTACGCGTCTTTTAAATGGATCCACTTGCAATGAAAATATGTGTCTCTCCATGTTTAGCTGCCAAACATAGGGCTCCTATTGAGTACCAAGCTACCTGACACCATCTTGCATGCAGAGGAGGACATGACGTTTGGCGCAGAAGGTTTGACAATAAAGCCATTGGAACCAATGAGAAAGTGGAAACTTCTTTTTGATGGACCGATGAGGTAAACTGTCGATTCATTGAAGACAAAAATCACATCATTGCATGGGGTCGGCTGCTCATGTTTTCTACATGTAGCTTTTCTCTGTGCCTATTCTCTCGTCACACACAATATCCTCATATTATTCCACCTCGTCCTTCCCATCTCTCATTCGGTCTCCCTCTACTCCTGCCCTGTATGGCACCTCCGATTAGTGCGGTTGGCTATGTACGGTGCGAAAAAAGTTCAACATACATATGTACTGACTATCTCTTCCCACAGTGTGAATTGACAACTCAAATTGTACAATCAGGATTTTCACTAAGGTTACCTCTTGCCATAAATTGCTTGCCTATATCTTTTTTTGTGATGGTCATGCATTGTTTTCCATCTCAGGCTAAGGGGGGAGGATCGCACATTAAACGTGATCGTGGACCTGGTCTGGGAGAGCACCCTGCCATATTTTGACTTCGACACGGAATTGCACCCCACTTTCATCTGTCGCGGTATCGCTCGCGAGCCATGGAGTGGCACATTCTTCAAAGACCTCGAGGAGTGAGCCATACGCTGCACCACTTAATTTCAAATTTCTTTACCGCTTTCCAACTAAGATTGAAAGTGTATGCGTTAGCTCTGTCCATCTCTCTGTGACAGTGGGACATTGTAACTCTCCGAAACATTATCCGAAATAAGTGAATCTGTAATATAAAGTAGCTTTGCTTATAAGGAGTTATCCTTTTGAAAACTGCCCATACTGATCAAAGGAATGCCAAAACTTGGAGACAGAATTTAAACAAAAAGGACTACAGTATTTGTAAATATGCAAATAGGTTTTTCCCAAACAGCTACCTAACCACTGCTGTACTGTACTAATTCAATACTTTTGAGATCAAACGCAAGTTGGAAGGTGTGACGTAATCTGTCCATATGTTTAATTTCCCCTAAACTTTCACTGTACATTTTTTATAGTAATGTTAATAGATGTATCCAATTCCTTCACCCCCCCCCCCCCCCCCCAAATTATCATTCTTATTAGTTTGGTTTCATTTGCAGTCACTTGATCGAGGCTGAGACCATCAACTCACGACACTTGAGAATACAATGAAATCAGGGATCACTGAACCCCTGCTTCGGTCCAAGGTTCTCAGTGTCAGGACTCTCATGGTTTTTAAGACGGTGATTGGTTTCTGTGCGTTAGTGTTTTCAGCAAGTAGAGGAAGGTGCCGTCCATAAATGACGTCACGCGATTTTGGACGATTTTTGACCCCCCCCCCCCTCGTCACACGGCGTCACAAAAAGTCAGACCTCCCATCAAATATGACGTCACAAAGCTCTGCCCCCCCCCCCAATCATATTTCCATTTTGAAAAGAAAATATGCTTCAAATCGCTTTAAACTATTGTCATTGTAGTGCGTATTTAATGTGGCGCTGCACTCTGATGTTGTAAGAGTGTTGTTATAACAATTCCTGTAGTGGTGTTATAACAATTCTACATTTATTTAAAGTTGCGCATTTTGATGTGACGTCACATTTCTCAAACCCACCTCCCCCTCGTCACACATCGTCACAAATGTCTGACCCCACCCCCCGTGCGTCACGCCATTTATGGATGGCCCCTAAGATGATAACACTTTGGTGCTTTGCCCTTCCATCCCTCGCAGGTCTCACCAGACGCACTATGAGCAGTTTGGGTGGCTTCGTGGCACCATCACCGTGGAGGGCTTTGCTCCACAAAAGCTCATCATGGGCTCCATGAGAGATCACTCCTATGGTGACGAGTTTACTAAACCTCAGACGGAGTTATCGACTTATACACCTAAATGTTTTCGAATTAGAATTTATGCGGGCATCGTTGAGAAATATAATTGTTACATATTTGCTTTCTTTTGCACACACTCAACCATAACACACCCATAATGCCTTGTTTTCTGGCCCAGGCAAGAAGCGCGAGTGGAAGTACCTGCATCGTTATGCCTTTCACATGGTGACACTGGAGGATGGAACACAGTTTAACGTTGGGGTCGTTTCTCAGCCCATCACCACTTCTGTGTAAGTCACTCATTCCACCTGACTGCAACCAATTCTATTTTAGTTTTTTACTTTTTTTTTTTAGTAAACTGATCTGACAAAGCTACATGTTAACATTATTACAGCCATAACCAAATCACATGGAATGCGCTGGATCTTGGAAACTAAGATAGTTTAGTTTAGTGTTTGGATGGGCGACCACCATATATGAACAGGGCTATGCTGTAAGTAGCAGAGGGCAGTGCGGTATAATATATTGATGTTCTGCACCTCAAAGCTCCCACGTATATGCTGCCCTGCCTTCACCAACCAGTAGTGAGTTTTAGCAAGTTGGAGACCAATGATGGTCACCACCGTGACCCTCATGGTGTGGGGAGACCCTCATCCAGATGTGGATATACAAAGAACTGTATATGTGTACATGTACGTTTTTACGCCGTTTTAATAACACCGCAGCTTCAAATGGTAATTGTTAGATAATTAATCGTTTTAATACAGCGCCCGAGTCGCCGAGTGTGCTTTACATCACATCTCATCTTTAACATTGTTAAGGGCACTCACAGTAGCAGCTGTCCCTGTGGGTACAAGGTGACCCATCACCTGGCTTGCAAAGGGGCAAAGTGTGTCAGTAGGGCAGCGATGATTGCAATGTATAATACATTGAGCAAGTTTGATTTGAGTATATTCGATGTGTTTCATGACGTTATTTTGCCCTCTGACCTACCTGCAGTTTGGAGATGGGCTACTTGTACACACCGGTTGGAGAGATGCATAGCGTGAACTGGACTGACTTCGATCTGGCCTACCATGGCGAAGGGGGGACCCCACCCTCGGATTACGGATTCCGCTTCCGTGCAGGTCTACAACGCACCTATCTAGCCTCACGGGAGGTGGCGGTCCTCGTTATGCTTCCAGTGAGATGGTTATCAAATGTACAGGCGGTGCAACTGCACCGGAGTCCACGGGCCAGAGGAGCACCCTGGCACTGGGCTTCGGGGAAATTGGACAGGGGCCCATGCTCTACCATTCTCACACCACTGTGCCTGAGTTGGCTCACACCGTCTTAATACAGACAGTGTGTGAGTGAAATGCTAGAATTCGCTCTCCTATGTGTTTTCGGGTTCTGCTACACATTTTCCGATTATACAACCCCCAAACACATCGGAGAGCTTTACAGCACAACTGAAACAAAACCACAGTAATAAGTGCTTATCTTACTAGCTGACCAATATTATCCATAATATATGTTTTTGGGTTAGATCACGTAAATATAAATGTGTCGTTAAACCCGCCACCACCCGACACAGCCAATTAGTAAGGGTTTCCACGTAAACAAAACATGGCGATTCGTAACTAGTTCAGTACACCTGATGTATTGGAGAATAAAAACACAAAGTATACAATTCGAGCACGACGTTTCGCCGGTAATTACAACCAACATCATCAGGCGACAGCCAGAGTTGTGGAGAAATCCTCCTGTTTCGGTCTAAAAATAGTGGGATAAATGTGATGTCGACGACATTATGTATGGCTGAGATATGTTTGTAACATTTCAGCTATGTTCCCTGCTGTTCAGGTGGGAAGCTGTACAATGTGCAGTGCCTCGTGCAGGACGTCTCGGAGTTCTACATTGGCTTCGAGTGGGAGGCTCGCATTGTGGAGAGGCTGTGCCTCTTCATCGTTAACGGAAAGCGCGGCTGGGGCATCTCCGAGTGGCATTATCGGCGAGTGCTTATTCTCTTCCTCCTCATTCCACGATACTGACAAATTTCACTCATTTTCTCAAACATATGCTCCATAAATCTAGGATTGAAGCTTTCGTGACTGCAGGAATTACTTTACTCATTGGTTCTTTCGGTAAAGTCACGTATGTAGAAATAAAATAAAAATAAAATTAAAATAGATCACGACGTTTCGAACGCACCACAAGCGCTCGTCCTCAGGTGAAAATGGCGTAAACAACACAGCGAGGGAACACACAGAGGGACATCACACAGAGCACACAGAGAACGGCAAACTGCACGGAGGCAAATACAGCAAGAAGATGGGAGACGCGAACTCAGCAAACCTTAGAAATAGAATACGATGCAACCCAGTCGGCCAACAACTGCCAAGATTTCCCCTTTTAAAGTCCAGACTTGTTTTTGTTATATCTTCTGCGTATGACTGAGCTTTCTGTATGAGGAGGCTTCATTTTCACCTTCTTTATATTACCATCTGCATTCCGTCTGTGCACTGCAGCCTATTATGACCTCACTCTCTTCAGATATGAAGTCCTCTAGATGTAACTGCCCCACCATGTGTACATATTCATATGTACTTTGATATACATTATTTTTAAAATCTAAATTGTAATGTATGGTTTATGTGCGTTGCATATGGCGGAGGATTATTTGACCAATCAACTCATGTGTAGGTACTAGGTTGGATTATTACATCGTAGGATCGTGAGAGATGGCAGACTTGGGGAGACCTTGCCCCAGCAGTGGATTGAGCATGGTGGATGATGATGATGAATGTATTGTGGTTTTAAAATAATAGCATTCCTATTTTACAGGCATCATGGCGGACGTCCAAAAGAGTATTCTTCAACAGACCCTCAGTAGGGAGGTGTGAAGATGAAAGATACATGGATCCATGAAAAAAACTGATGCCTCACTTAATTATTTTTGTGCTGTAATTATTTTACAATTTTGACAATACAATATATCAGTGTTGTGAGAGATGTTTACCTGTAATGAATTAAGCACAACATGAATAGCAAATAATTAAGCATTGTATTGAAATGCATTGCATTTAGATTGACAAATGTAAACTTACTGAATGCTGCATTTGTTTGAGTATATTCATTGTCTAAAAAAAATGGAGAAAAGGTTAATTCTATCTCAACATATTACTTCGTAGAAGTAAATCAACACGACATGCTGCTTCGTTGTTAAAACATTTATGTGCTGTCATCAAGTCAAACATGAACGATGCATTACAGTGCAATAAACACAGGCAGTTCGTGTAAAATAACCTACTTTGTAAGTTTCCAAAAAAAAGTGCATCTTTGAGTCTCTATATATGCCACACATCAATCACGCACATTGATGATTGTTATGGCCACAATTCACAATTTCGATACACAGTACTTAAGCTTAAATCACAGCACGTGAAGGGGTGGGTTCAAGAAGTGAGCAGGTCACTCATGAGTGGCACTCAAATCGCTTCCTCCAGCCCTGATGCACTTTTGCTTGCAAAGGCGTAGCATGATTGGCATGGGCCCTGGAGCAAGGTATAAAATGGAGGCCCCTGTTAAACCCTTTCCCATTCAAAGACGTCTGCAATTTGCAGGATGGGTGTCCCGTTCTCCACCGAATCACGGAACGTCCAAGCAGTTCAGCGTTCATTTTATTTAGAGGCGTAGCGCCATTGTTTTTTTTTTAAGATATTGTACTCACCACAGAGAACTACAGTGACACAAACGCATTTTATGATAGCTGGTACCAAACTGTGCCACACCCCCTTCCGCATGGCATTTTACTTCGGGAATCGGAAGTAAAACTGATGATTGTACATGTACGTCATCGGAATGGGAGAGGGTTCATTTCCATCCTCTACATAACCCAGTAACTGGGGACCCTCTTGCCTGCGGGCCCCTGTGCAGCTGCACTCAATAGTTCTACAACTACTTGCAACTTCTGTAATCATTTCTCATGGCCCTTCTCCAATATCTCTGGCACACATTAATAATACAAGTTTATAAAGACACGAGAGGAAATACTTTTACAGTCCGTTAATGTGTCACACATTCACTTACAATATAATGTGTACGGTATAAAACCCAAGTCAAGGCTTGGAAGAATAACGTGTCTAGACATTGGCAAATTATTAGCAAAAACACCATGACAATTTAAGTGACATCAACAATTAAGCAAGACAATGTTTTGGATAATGCATTGAATAGGACTTAGGGAATATTAGTGAAGGACTGTTGAGAAATATTGATCCTAGTTGTTTTCATCACTGACCACACTTCACAACACCAGCAGAGTGAAGTGTGATCAAACAACCCCCATGACTAAAATGGCATATGGAGGCCTTCATTCAGGAGCGGATTGATGAAGGGCTGAACATTACTGTTATTGTATGATCATGTAAAGCAAGTATAACAAAATGATGTATCTCCCTCCTTGCACCCCTCCACTCGAATAAACTTCCCCTCTATATTAAGCAGGCCTCCACCTTAACCTCCTTTTGTTCCTCTCTTAAAGCTCACCTCTTCTCCATTGCCCATTCTTCTTCTTTCCTCCCCTCGCCCCTCCACTCCTTTCCGTCCCTCCCCTACCATTTCATAACCCCCATGTGCCCTCTGTTACGGTCACTCATTCCTCGGCCCTTGGACTTTCCTGCCATTTAAATCACTATTTTTATGGGTTTTTTTTACTCTGTGAAACACCTTGAGCTAAGGTGCTCAATTATAATTATTGACAGAGACTTCACAAAGTCTCAATACTCTTGGGTGCTTATTTATTAACCACAGCATTTCATTCAGAATAAATTAAGCATCTTAATATTCAGCTAGATTATTATAATACTGCGTTTTATTTTTTTTGGCATTTTTAAACATGCTCGCTCTTCCAAGTGTAAACTCAGGGGACAGGGCTTGTATGTATGTGGAACTTCTTTCGCACCGTACATAGCCAACCGTGCTAATCGGGAGGTGCCGTAGAGGCTTCATCCTCTATTGCGCCTCTCGGGCAATCCAGCCACTCTTGGTTAGGAAGCTGAGGATGCGCTTCTTGTGCGACTTGTCGAGGTAGGGGGGCAGGCGTGGCTTGGAGGGGATACCCTGCCGCTTCTGGAGGTAGTCGCGGATGAGGATGGCCTTGATGGTGACGTAGCGCGTGGGGCTCAGCCCGAGGGAGCCGCACAGCAAGCGCTCCTGCTCCGACAGCTCCTGGAAGCCTGGGAGGCTCTCCAGGGTGGGCACGTCGCCGTCGGGCTGCTCCTTGTTCCTGTGTGGATGGCCACGGAGCAAAATAAATTGTCATCCTCCATCGCACAGGTTAAAGACAGGCCCTATTGTAAGCGCACTTTTACTCTGATCATTGAGCTCTATGTAAGCATATGGCACAGTGTCACAGGATACATAGTTTCAATAGTTACGAAGTTTGATACTAAAGGATCAACTGTGCGAACTGTATAAAAGGAAATTAGCGATAATAAGCATTAATGTCTAAAAATGTATTGGTAAATTATTCGCAGAAACACCATAAACAATGAGAGTGCCATCAATAATCAATTTTTAACAATTTTGCCGAAGGATTGGTCCCCGTTTTGACGCCTGGTCAGTATGGCATAGATATCGAGAGTGAAGTTGCACTGCCTGCACTGCTACGGTTTTAGACCCCCCTTGCTCCGTGTGGCAAATCTAACCAGTGTGCGGGCGGTGCAAGCACACACGCAACGGCAATGCCACCGCCTTGACGCCTGCCCCACGCAGACCCACCTGAGCGCGAGGGCACCGAGGCGTGTGTTGGGCGTGGGGGGCCGCCCGCTCTGCCTCGTGGTCGGCGTGGGGGGCCTCCCCGCCTTGCGCTTCTCCCTCCGGTGCTTGGCCGCCTCGTACTCGGCCGACTCCTCGAGACGGGTGATGCCGTCGCAGCGGTACCTCTGCAGCTCGCGCACGCGCAGCCGCAAGCCGCGCTCGCGGCTGCCGCTCTCCATCATCTCGTCGAGCTTGTGCGCCGGCAGGAAGCGGCAGAAGGGCTGCATTCTCCCGCGCAGCTCCGTCTCCTCCTTGGAGGGCGGCCGCCCCTTGGGGCCGCGGTCGCGCTCCTTGCCCAGGAAGCCCGCGATGAGGTTGTACTCGCGCACGATCTGCTTGCGCCGCTGCCGCTCCTCCACGCGGCGGACGTACATGTCCACACAGGCGCGCTTCAGCTCCAGGTCAAGCTCGTCGTCCGAGTAGCTGAGGGCCAAGCCGCTGATGAGGCCCTCCGCCTCGGGGTCGTGCTCCACCTCGAAGTCGTCGCGCAGGGGCAGGTAGCCCAGCTGCTGGCGCTCGGCCGGGGAGAGCTCGAGGAGACACGGTGACGGTGGAGGGCTGCCCAAGCCGGGCTCCGTGCACGTGTGGTCTGTCACTCTTAAATACATCCAAAGCGCCTGTTGTTAGGATCACCAACTCCAAGTGCTCAATACTGTACTCACTGCCCAGAGGATGTGGTGGTATCAAATTTAATTACATGCACATGCATAACCCCTTTTGTCAATCCACTACTGGATGAGAGCCTCCCTGTGCTGGTCACGGAAGTTATTTGGTAATGTTGGTCAGTGTGGGTTAAGTGAAGGTGGGGAGCACAAACTTGGAAGAGTAAAAGCACAGTACAACAATGGATGTTTCTGCACTGCCATCTGCAGCCCACAAATTAGCCCCACAAATAATGGCATCATGTATGTGCACGATAGTCACCCATCCAAGGACGATGCAGCCTCCAACTTGTTTATCTTCAAATACGGTATCTTTAATCAGGTGCATTCCACGCGACTTGGTAAAATCAACTAATAATGTCCTTTATTTATCCAGTAAAACTTTACTGAGTGTCCAGCATTGTTTGGCCAATTACATCCATGAGTGTCACGTTGGAGAAAACTGCAGTACCCAGAAAAACCTCACATATACGAAGAAGAGGCTACACTCAATGCTCTGTACACGGGGAGATTCCAGAATCCAATGCTGTACTGCCATCTCAAGACCAACCTACAGGGAACTGTTTCGATATTGGGCCTTCCAGTGGATTTCTAATGAGATGGTCCCTAATGAGATGGTCCCAGCAACGGCAACGTAAGAACATAAAACATTTGGCTCTGCATTTCATCTCAGCTCACCTCTGTATCGGGCAGGGAAGGTGTGAACACACTGCCCCCTAGTGTGCGGATTTGAGGATCAGAGATCTGGAAGGAATATCAAAAGTACTGTACATACTGTAGTTTTGTCATAGCCACTTCCGAGGGCTATTCTGGAACACAGAGTTACACTGCACTGCGAGAGTTCTAAATGGATTCTTCGTCCGATGACATGACGCAAACAGCACAACAGTTATAGAGATGAATAAAACAGCATAGCGCGCGGACCTGAGGAATTAATGCAGTTACCCATGCGTAGCTTTTTTGTGGTTGTGCTGTATAGCCCTCTCAATGTCTTTTCTGTTTATACCGCGTGTTGTTCGGCATGATGTCCGACGTTTCGCTCCACGTCGGTTACCTGTTGGGGATGATGGCAGGGATGCACGCCCTCCCGATGTTACCGTACACGAAGCGACCTAGGTAGTGCTCCGTGGCCTCTGCCGCCGTGCGGGAGCCCACGTGCGCCGCCACGTCCTCCCAGTTACCGAAGCCATACTGCTCCACGGCCTCCAGCAGCAGTTGCTCTTCGCAGTTACTCCACGGGGCAGAAGGTCCCGCCGGGATGTCCTCAGGCGCCCCGGGCTGCCGGGTCAACGGCTCGTCCGGTCGCGTCTCCTCCGCCGACTCCGGCGCCGTCTGCGCGGCTGCCCCCGCCGAAGCCGCTGACATCGGCGCGTGGGTTGGAGCCGCCGGGGTCGGAGCCTGCGTCTGAGTCGGAGCCACCGAGATTGGAACCTGGGTCGGAGCGGGGGTCGCGGCCGACGCTGCCGGTGCCGTGGCCAGCGCCGCGACGCAGGGGGTCGCCCTGGGTAGTTGCTGCAGCTCAGGCGCACGGCCACTGCCGGGGCCACACGCCGGCTGTTGGAGGACCATCTGGTAGGAGTGCCAGCGGCGGTGCGGGCCCAGCTCAGCTCCGGCGCTGAAGCACTCGAGGCAGAGCTCCATGTCCGCGCACTCGGCGCAGCGCAGACGCAGGGCGGTCGCTTCCTCCAGGCAGTTGACGCAGTATTTCTTGATGCCGGATAGGGAGGATGAGGAGGAGGACGAGGAGGACGAGGACGACGATGACGAGGACGACGACGAAGATGAAGAGGAGGACGATGACGACGAGGATGATGATGGTGCCGCTGCCGGCTCCGCCGTTTTCTCGGGAGCGGGGCGTTGGCGCTGCCACTGCGCGCCGCGCTCCATCGCTGGAGGGGGGAGGGGGTACGGTGGATGAATCGGCGCCCCTGGCTCCGCCGGCCTTGCCCCTGCCTTGCCCCTCCTCCCACGCCAAAGAAGGAGCCCCGTTGCTGCCCTTGCAGCCCTGACCTTGCCCCTCCTGCGCTAGTGCGCATGAGGGACGACCGTCGATTATTAATTAGGAGACCGAGCGCTCCGCTCAGAGTGAGTTCATTTGAAATGCAAAATTATGCAATGATTGTACGTGTGCTCGCTTGTGTGTGCGTGTGTATATGTGTACGTATGTATAGACTGGCACGAGCGACCGATCATCCATCGTGACGCATTGCACTCGGAGTGCATTATGTCCACTGATTTATTTGTGTTGCTGCCATGGAAACAGCCTTTTTTCAACCAAATCCGACATGCTATTGACCTACTTAAATAAATCAGGCGCATATTTTCTACAAATCCCTTAATTATATAAACGTGCATCAATAATTATCCACGATTTGAGCTTCGGTTTTTGCTTTCACTGCAATTGTAAATTGCCCTTCGGTAAAAAAAATAAGCAATACATTAGCCGGGTCTTTTTTTAGCACGGCCATCCGTAACGTATTAAAATACACACTTGCTGTCGTCCGCGAACAATGTGGCCTCCAATAAATTTTGCAAATATATCAGAGAGGAGGGGGCGGGTGAAATCCATCATGTTCCCAGCCCAAGGCTTCCTGCTGCCCGCACGGCAGTGGTTGGGTGCAATGCAGTGCGGGCGCTGTCCTTGGTGCTGATGAAACGTCACTGACTCCCCCCCCACCCCCCTTTTGTTCCAGCCACTGTGCCAGGGTGTTGGGTAGGCGGTGTTCTGCATCGCAAACGCACGGCACTTCAGAGTGGCCGAGTGTGGTTCTGGAGCCACACAATCAATGGCCTTGTCAGAGCAATAAAGCAACGAGTACCGGCATCGGTAAGGTTTTGGGCTCCAGCCATCCGTGGATTTAAACCAGGTTTTCCGTGTAGAGAAAAGGTAGAGAAAAGGTTGATGCAGTTAGCACAGCGATTAAGGTTAAGGTTATTCCTTATTCCTTTTGCATGATGTAGTATACATATGTTCAATACAGCTTTATAACCAACATTTTTAAGGCATTTAAACTAGTTCCTTAATGTGGGCTATATTTTACTCCGACTACACAATCCGCAAAGCCATCACTCCAACCATCAAGAAGGATCCTGTTGAGGAGCCTTTCAAGACCATCACCTTACCCTACATTGCTGGGGTCACAAAAAAGATCTCCAAAATCCTGATTAAACACAAGATCCAGGTCCGATTCAACACAGTACATAAAATCCGTGATCTGGTCCCGTCTGTAAAAGATGTGGTTCCAGACATACAGTACCCTGGCGTCTACAAACTAAGTTGCCTCTGTGGTAGCAGTTACATTGGAGAAACCAAACGACATGTCTCGGACCGCATCCGTGAACATAAGGCAGACCTGAAACACGGTAGGACAAACACCTCAGCCGTGGCAGATCACTGTTACAATTCAGTGGGCTCACATGACATTGACTTCTCCAAGACAGAGGTTCTCTGCAAGCCATCTGGCTATCATGAGAGATTCGTTCATGAGGCGATCCACATATACAAACACAGAGACAATTTCAACCGAGAAGATGGATTCTGGCTTAGCAATCATTGGAAGGACGTAATAAACCATTTCGGATCTTAACTGATTGTGTTCACGTTTACGGTGACTTTCAGACCGCGTTCCACTCACTGGCATGGTGCAGTGTGCAGAGTAATGTATGGTTTCGTAATTGTATAGTAAACATATAGCAGTGTGATACACATTAGGGTGGGTAGAATAATACATAGTGTTATATTAAAATGGATAAGGCAGCAACTGCAGCAGCAGCAAGTGCAGCAGCAGCAACTGCAGCAGCAGCAGCAATTGCAGCAGCAGCAGCAACTGCAGCAGCAGAAACTGCAGCAGCAGCAGCAACTGCAGCAGCAGCAGTAACTGCAGCTCCCTTTGATGCTGTTAATCCTGCATAATGCACATGCATATGCAGTACTAATCACATTCCTGCATTTCCCATAAATATGCTAAATTCATTTTGATATGCAAATTCCTTTGTCAATGCGCCCAGCTTATATATATGCTCCAAGCTCGTGTGCTGTTTCATTCAGACTCTGTCGCCTCGACGGACCTGGTTTTCACCTGAGGACGGCTGCTTGCGTTGTGGCCGAAACGTCGTGAGAATTGTTTTATTATGTTTTATTTTTATTATTTTATTACTTCCCTTCTACGTGACTTTACCGAAAGAACCAAGAAGATGAATCCCTGCAGTCACGAAAGCTTTAAATCGAAATATATTTTACGATTTAACACGTAGGCTTTCGCGACCAATATCATCCATAATACATGCTTTTTGTGGGTTCAATCGTGTGTCGTTAAACCCGCCACGGGCTAAGAAAGTGTCAGATGGTGAAAGTCTGAGAAGTGAAATTAAACATGTTATAATAGTAGGGTTATTTCCCCTTTTAAACATGTTAAAGAAGCGCTGCAATTGATCTGTTACAATGATGCACAAATCAACAGGGCATTGAATGCCAAAACCAAATCAAACACTTATTTGATTTAGATAATGTTGAAGTTCTGTGCAAAACTAGTTACTACTGGCCAAGACTAATTAGAGAATCTAACCAAATTGAGAGAAATAAAAATAATTTTCATCGTTCGGATAGCTACAGACTTAGTGCTGCTTGGAAGCGAATCAAGTAATACATTGTTTAATTGCATGCCTATATAGGTCACCATACTTCAATAGGGATTGCCGTTGATACGGCTATGTTAGTGCACACAATCGACAGGAAGTACAAGAACAATGGACTTGCTTAATGCACATGCATAATTTACGTTGATTACCATATAAATAACCCAAACGGCAATGGATAACCATAGTCATTTATATGCATTCTTTAACCCCCCCCCCCCACACACACTTCACGCTGATACCCCTCTATTTAAGGAACGAAACAGGAAGACGCCTCCACAAATCTGGCTGTCGCCTGATGAAGCTAGTTGTAATTAATGGCGAAACGTCGTCAATGTTGTGGCTTGGCTCTCCAACACACCGGTGTGCTGTACTGGTAACGAATTGGCATGTTCTGTTTACGTGACAAACCTTACTAATTTATGGCTGTGTCGGGTGGTGGCGGGTTTAACGACACATTTATATATCTACACGATCTAACCCAAAAAAACCTGTATTATGGATATATTTACAATGTTTTACAAAATGTATCCTCGTCATCAGCCACAGTGAAGTATTTGATTACATACTTTCGTGCAACATTCACTACCATTAAATTCACACAAAATCTGCTCAATCTTTTCGTAAATATTACAGCTTCCGTCCTAGGACGTGCAAGCAAGCTAGTTTGACATATCACTATAACCGATTACAAAAACACAATGGCATACATAATAAACGGCTGAATGTATGCATGATCACAGGTAATGAATGAATGAATTATCGCAAATATATTTCACGGTACGGGCGAATTAATTGCACGTTGTTCATCAGTCGTGACACGCGTTCATCAGTCGTGACACGCGTTCATCAGTCGTGACACGCGTTCATCAGTCGTGACACGCGTTCATCAGTCGTGACACGCGTGAGCGAATGAATGAACGCCTGTGACGTCAGTGGGGGGGGCGGGAGGTTGAAGGTTTCCAACTTCCCGTGCCGCCGCCGCCGCCTCCTCCTCGGTCACCATGCCGCGTCTGGCCCAGCTCCTCGTCTCGCTCCTCACCGCCGTCAGCGCCGCATCCTCCGCCTTCATCGTTCCTCCCAAGAAGATCGGTAGGAGGGGGGGGGGAAGGTTGGTGGACCTGTCCGGGGTAAAATCAAACAAACAAAGTGTGGGCGCTTCGCTCGTTCGCTGCGCGCCCGTCTCTGCGCGCCTCTCCCGGTAGGGCGCGGTAGTCGAGGTGCCCTGGCCACGGCGTGGCCTCCTCCCCCCTAACACCACCCCACATTGACGACCCGAGCTCGGATCTCGCGCATTTATCGTGAGGTTTTATTCGTTCATGAAGACTCTCCTATCTAAATTGCGCCGTGATGCATGCGTTGCCGATCGTCACGGTCTCACGAATTTTATCTCGTCCGTTTTACACCCGAATGGTGGTAAAATGTTTAGCACCTTGGACTTGGATTCCAGAGGACGACCCCTGTCCACCCAGCAGCACAGAATGCATGGACGTACAACGGTTAGTCGATAGGCAGGCCGCATTTGGTGGGGGTAAAGTGTGGGTACGGCCCTATAATCACTGCCCTATATTCAAAGATGTGTGGCCATCGTGGAGCAGGTGGCCAAGTACCATCGAGAGGGGGGCCTCTCTAGAGCTCCCTGGAGTTGGAGGCCTACCGGTGATCAAACAATTGTAGGGCTGCACATTTATCGTTCACATTTCACTAAATCTGGAGCCGGCTCTGCTTTGACGAGCGCAGTATGAGAGCCCTTGACTTGTAAACGTTATTCACGTGTCAAATCAACACCGGCCACCTGCGTCTTCAAATATGACCACCGAGGAAGTTAAAGAGGCATTATTGTCTTTTACCAAATCACCCGGCACGTGTTAAGATATTGGTAGACCTAGGAAGATTAAATTGTTCTAGCCTGGATAGTGCTTGGATGAGCGACTGCCATGCACTGACATGGTAGAGCCCGTATAGGCTTCGGGGCTACTTTCTGGGCAGTGAAGAACAATGCAGAAGTATTCATTGTTGTGCTATATACCTCGATGTCTCTACATCTGTGATCACCACCTTCACCAACCCGTGCTGAGCAGTGAGCTGAAGTATGGTCAAATAACCCCCACAGTCCGCACGGCATGGGGAGACCCTCATCCAGCAGTGAATTGAGCAAGGGCTCTACGTGTACATTGTTAGATCATGAACATAATGTAATGTCACATTTCCTTACATTGCAATGAGAAATTCATACGGTTAAGGCACATCGCAAATTGTTTACGGACAGCCCCTTTATCAACCCACTGCTGGATGAAGACCTCACGGTGTGTCCGTCATGGGATTTGTGGTCAGTGCTTGTTAGTGAAGCCGGGGTGCAGGGCTTGTGACGAGGACTGGTTCAGATATCACTCGGCCAGGTGTCTCGTGCAGTGTGCTCACCACTCCTAACCACTGCACCACTTTGCCACCCACATGACAAATGAGCCTACTGCTATTGGTTCATCTTCCGTTGTGCTGAATGAGACTTCCTTCTCTTGTGTGTGCACCAGCTGTCATCGGCGCTGGCATCGGGGGCTGTTCGTCTGCCTTCTTCCTGCGGAAGAAATTCGGCCCCGAAGTGATCATTGATGTTTTTGAAGCAAAGCAGGTGGGCGGGCGGATTGCCACCATCACGGTGAACGAGAAGGTTTACGAGACGGGCGCCTCTATCATACATCCCCTCAACTTGCACATGCAGAGCTTCGTCAAGGACCTGGGTGAGAATTCGTTTGTTTTTCGCCACCAGACTTGTGCGTTTGTCACGGGGAAGAAAAACCATTGCATCGCGTTAAAATGCGTAGGTCTTAAGATGTGTGTCTGGGTTGTACCATGTGATGTTCGGCATGTTCGACGTTTTGTTAACATGCTTTAAGAACGTAATTCATTTTATTTCTTGAATCTCCGAGAATGCGTGTTGTTCAGCTTAACGTCTCATGAAAATGGTCGGATAAGAATCTAAACATGTGGTACAACTTGAAACAAATCAGAGGTATACAGTACAACTACTGAAACCTACGCAGTAATACTTTTTGGTGATGTGTGGCAAGCTCACAGTAATCATTACTATTTGCAGGTTTGAAGCAAAGGAATGCTGTTCCAGGAGAAAAGTTGGGAATTTACAACGGAGAGCAATTTGTGTTTGAAGAAAGTAGTTGGACAGTCATGGATGCCATCCACCTCATGTGGCGTTATGGCTTGAGTTATCTCCGAATGCAGATGTGGGTAGAGGAGATCTTGGATAAGTTTCTCAGGTAAGTTAACTTCCATTTACCTTAAACTTGGTGTAGCAGCACGAACAGCATTGGCAATGATGACCTGTTAACTGATACTATTCACGTGTATATGTCTAAATTGATTGGGAAAACATGACGAGATTGTAGCCGTCATTGTTACGCTGTAAGAAAGAACATTTTTAATTTATTTCCATGTTAAGCAACGTTTAATTAGTATTATTAAAAGTGCTCGTTTGGATAGATTTTTGGTTGCAATTTAGATTCGATGTGCACTTAAGGGGCTCTTGTGTGCAGGATCTACAAGTACCAATCACACGGATTTGCATTCTCGACAAACGAAGATCTGCTGCTCGCTTTGGGCGGAGAGGCGTTCATTGAATTGACAAAGCACTCGCTGGAAGAGGTCCTCGGGGATCGCGGCGTCTCCCAGCGCTTTCTTCAAGAGCTCGTTGGAGCTGCCATCAGGACCAACTACGGCCAGTCGCCCAACATCCACGCCTTTGTTGGCAAGCAGGCTCCGATTAATGCATTCATATGAACACCTTTTTATTGTCGTTATTTGGGCCATATTTCTTATTACTCTCGAAATAAGTGTGATTTCCTGCTCAAACGAGCATTAAGGTGGTGCTCCTCTCTGTTTACAGCCTAATGAGTGGTAGAATTTCCACAATCCTATGACGGGGTTGAGTAGTCTAAAAGCAAACACTTTTGACATCCCAACAATGTGTTACTTATTTTACTGCCCCCGGAGTGTTGATGGGCTGAGGCAACCCCCCCGACCAGGATTTTAACTTGCAACCTGCTGCTCGTGAGCTGTTCAGTCTGCTGCTGTGCCACCTGGCTTGGATAACTTCAACTCTTTATAGTTGACGTATCTGTAAAACATTGTCGTTAACCAACTTTCCTTCCCTTCAGGAGCAGTGTGCCTGGCTGGTGCTCAGCCTGGCCTCTGGGCTGTAGAAGGTGGCAACAGTCTGGTGTGCACGGGGCTGTTGTATGCTGCAAAAGCACAGCTGCAACTTGCCAGGGTCACCTCTATTTCCTTTAAAAAACGCCCAGTTAGAAAAGGTGAGCAGCGTTTATTTTCGTGCAATACATTTTGTTGGTTGTGATGTTCATCGTGGAGATGTTGCAGCGTGATTGTGCTGTTTGTGTTTTTTAGGTGGAGAAGTGAGCCTGTATGAAGTTGGATACGAGAGTGACTTGGGCAATGGACATAACCTTTATGATCTTGTCGTGGTGGCTACTCCACTTCATGAACAACTGTCAAATATTACATTTGAAGGTTTTATCCCACCTATCACTACCTTCCCAGGTTCCTATCACCACACAGTGGCTACCATTGTGCATGGCTATGTCAATACCTCATATTTTGGCTTCAAAGATCCAACATCATTCTCAATAAGCGAAATAATGACCACCGAAGACTCTGACCTTTTCTTTAACAGCTTAGGTAACCTCTCTCCTGTCAACGCAAGTGCGGACTATCAGCGCAAGCCCTTACACGAGTCTGCCGTATGGAAGGTTTTTTCGAAAAAACCTCTTGATCGGCAGCAGCTCAAAATGCTGTTCCGCACATATTACTCGGTTCAGGAGGTCGACTGGCTTGCTTACCCACAATATAACTCATTGCCTTCTTCAGGCAAGCTGCCTCCTATTGTTCTGCATAATTCACTTTACTATATCAATGGACTGGAGTGGGCTGGCAAGCGCAATGGAGATGGCAAGCATTGCTGGCCAGAATGTGGCCCTCCTTGCCCACAGCCGCTGGAATGGCCTTGATGATCGTGTTGATCAAATGGACCTGATGCACCGTATTAAAACGGAGCTCTGATCCCCCAAGGCAAGGCTTAATATGACCTGAATAATACGCATAACCCTGCGAGCTGGACTTGTTAATAACCTGAGGATTGTGTTCTAGATTGAGGGAAAATTATTTTACGTATTCTGCTTTGAGAATGAGCTTTTATTCAAGTTAATTTAATTCGAGTTAATGTTACACCACTGAAAACGGTTAAATAGTCGAGGCCAACATGTAGAAAATGTATTAAAATGTATTTTTTTCTACTTAGGATTCAACAATGATTAAAATAATAGCATTTAGAAAATTATGCACTAGGACAGTTTAATTTCTGTATAGTTGACAATTTTGAGCTTAAAGTGTTACAGACGGTTAAAATGTCATGTTGAAATGCTTTTAGTATTGGTGTGGGATTGTGCAAAAAAATATTGCTTGGTAAATTAAATCAACGTATATTTAATGGGACTGCAATTATTAATCCATGGTGATGTTTTGGGATTTATCAAGCAAGATTTTCATACAGCTGTTAAGGTATACCTCAATCTAGATTTGAAGCTTTCGTGACTGCAGGAATCCATACTCTTTGTTTTTTTCGGTAAAGTCACATAGGTATAAAATAAATTAAAACTAAATAAAATAACGACGTTTCGGGCGCAACACAAGCGTCTGTCATCAGGTGGGAAAGCATGGCCTACTGCTGATGCAGACTTTTAAAGGTTTGAAATGGGTGGAGCCCAAGGGTTATAAAGGAGTGGCTGGGTCTAGTGATGTTAATGTGAGAAATTAGCATGTAACTGGGTACGGAAGTGGCTATATTAATGTAAGAGATTAGCATGATGTTAAAGTGAGAAATTAGCATGTAACCGGGCACGGCAGTAGCTATGATGATGTGAGAGATTAGCGTGATGTTAAAGTGAGAATTTAGCATGTAACTGGGCACGGCAGTAGCTATGATGTGAGAGATTAGCATTATGTTAAAGTGAGAAATTAGTATGTAACTGGGCACGGCAGTAGCTATAATGTGAGAGATTAGCGTGACTTCACGGAGGTATACCATGGGAACCTCATTTGCCAGTAAAAATATAATTGGTTTTTTACCCTTCTATCTGGCAACAAAACTGACACCTTTTTACAAGGAGTCATGTTTGCATAGACCGCAATACCTGCAGTCATAATACAAAAGACATAACTCTGATGTGCACTGTCCTTGAAGTTGATTGGTCCACACCCGAGACAGCTTTCCTTAGAGCCTAGTCTCACATGGGTTGGACCAGATGACGCCAAGTCTTTGAGTTGTGCGCCAGATAGAAGGGTAAAAAACCAATTATTCACAGAGGTATATTTTATTTTATACCTACGTGACTTTACCGAAAGAACCAAAGGGTATGTATACCTCAATATTTTACCTATAAACATGAGTTGCACCTTTTATACAAAAAAAGCCATATAGTTATTAACGTTTGGTTTAGAATTTAGACTTTGTTCATCTTTTCAACTGTAATTATTTAGTTGATATGTATATACAAAAAGTGCCATCTACTGAAATGGGAAGGGTAAAATAGCTGATTTTTGTTGTAATTGTGTCGTGTATAATTTCGGTTATTAGTTTGTTTTACATGACCATCGTTGCAGTATATTTCAATTCCCAAAGCCAGCAATGTCAAGAGGATTTCTTAATATGTTTATACACGTTTTTAATTGCCTCTACTGGCCTATTTTAAAAAAATGGTCAGGGTTGTAACCAAGTAGCTGCTTGTGCTTCACAGAAGTCGCTTGCATAAAGAGTCATCCTTGCTATCCAAATTGTTAGTGAATACAAATTTACATGAACCAAATGAAACATTGACAAATGCAAATGACAATAAAATCAACATTTTAATGCAGGGCATATAACCGGAAATTATATTCTTACGACAGAACCCTAAATCAAATAAGTATATAATTATACATGTATAATGTACATCAACAGCATACAGTTTATTTACTAACTTGAATCAATTAATCCAAGTGCTTTTGCTGCTGACAACTTCGTTAGTTGAATGAAGAAAAAAAAATTCAACTCCTGAAGATGCCCGCAGCACTAAATAAGCTACTGCACAAACATACATGTTAAATCGAATCAGTTAGGTGTATAACTGCAAAGGTTACACTTACATGTAACACAAATATGGTTAAAATATACACTTGTAACAGTGTATGTGCATGAATTTATGATCGGTGTAAACCTTGAATACTGAGTGGCAGTGACACTTTAAAATTTAAATAAAAAAACTATTGTATGGAATTTAGGATACTGCTTTTGAAATAAGATTTAAGTTCTAGAATGTATAGGTGTACCCTGATATACTTAAAATACTTTGATTTACGATTTGTTAATTTTGTCAAATTGACACTTTTTTTTGGTTTGTCTCGTTGGTTTCGTTTTTACGTTTGATGACCCAAAAGGTGAGACAGACACTCCTACCGCCTCTCCCTCACCCTTCCAGTAACCCAACACCTATACGACCTGCACCAGTTTCTGGTTCGTAAATTGCAGTTTACATGCATCTCTCGATTTACGATCGTTCGGTTTACGAAATTTCGCCTTAATGCAATTGACATTATAGACAATTGTCGATTAACGAAATCGAATTTCCGTGTGAACAAAATTTCACACGGCACATGCCGTGAGATCCAAATGTAGCACCCAGGAGACTGCGTCATCCATCCGCAACAGTGCCACGGTATCCCGACGATACAATAACAATGCCTCAACATCACTTTTCCAGTCATCCTGTGCAGATGTTTTGGCGAGTTCCCTGAAAAGGTATTTTAAAAAATTCAATAATTTGTATTTGTTCCTTATTATTTTTGTTTTGTGAAAAGTGACATACGTGTATATTTTTAGGTTAGGAGTAGAATTGGAATTAATGTCCGAAACCCATCCCTAAATTTTCGTATTAAATGGGAAAAGCCATTCCAATTCACAATTGTTTTACACAAATCGAGGGATACCTGTAAAGTGTTTTTACTTAGCTGTTTAGTTACTATTCACCATATTTAGGCATGAAAATGTTATTTGTATTTACAATTGTTATTTTTTGTAGGTTTTAGGTCAGAACATTGTTAGGAACGCAATTTGTGATATATAATGGGACCTGATGAGAAAAATGTTCAGTATACAATTTTTTACTTTACATTCATGTTTTCAAGAACGCAAACTGAACATATCGAGGTACACCCATAGGTATATCGTTACACACTGCAAATTGTATTGTTTGTTTTTAATTTTGGGTAAAAAAAACTGCCTCAATTGGATATTTTTATACTAAAGTGGACAACACAAAGAAGTAAGATTGATAGAAGGTACTCGGAAGCTTTATTTTAAATAAATAAATTCAGCAGCGGAATGACAAAAGGGCTGTAAATGATTATAACAAAAATGTGGTATTGGGGAAAGCGCACCAAGACCATCCAAAAAAAGAGGAAATGGGAGTCAAATAATCAGGGTCCTTTGACAACACCGACGATGGCTGGCCTAACAATGCGGTTGTGCAGCTTGTAACCGATCTTGGTAACTACGCCAACTGTGCCAGGATCCTTGCCTTCCATGGGCACCTGGAAGAGCGCCTCGTGCTCATAAGGGTCAAACTTGGCATCAATGGGGTTCAGAGGAACCAGCCCATGCTTGGTGAACACTTTCTGCAGCTGGCTCTCGGTAAGAATCAGACCTTCGTATAAACTCTTCAGATGTGGGTTGGCGTCATTTAGCTCTTCCTTGGGAACACTCTCCGTTGCCTTCTGAAGGATGTCTGCAACTTCGAGCAAGTCCTTGCAGAAACTTTGAATGCCTGCAAAATAACAAGTTCCATATCGGTACACAATACTGTGCCCTCTTGAGACAAAATCGACCAAACAACTTAACCCATTGTGCTGTAGATGGTAGTGCCACTGTTACCGAATATCTTGCCATCTTCGATCATCCTTTGGCTCCGTCGTCGCACATTTTCAGTGTCCGCCAATGCACGCTTATAGCGATCCTGAATGGAATTGAGCGTTAATGGCAAACCTAATCTATGGTTCAATAAATCTAGTCTGACATAAAACAGGCAACATTAACAATTGAGTGGAAGCCAATGGAGGGAAAAAGAGGCAGACAAAATGAATTGGTGGGATGAGAGACGATTTGTAGTAGCAAGTAAGAGTGGAACACATTGGGGTAGGACCCTTTCATGTTAACAGTTAAAATATGTAAGTTGGATCAGCATTCCCATTGAAGACAAGCACAGTGCTTCTCACATATGCTTGTATGAGAAGTTTCCTGACACCGCCCTCCCCCAACCCTACCAGTAAAGTAAGGATGTGTTGCTTATTTAAGGACTGCTCTACAAATTCTCCTGGAGGCGGGCACATCTCAGCATTCACTAGAATCACCCCCACGTACCGTCAGATCTTTGACTTGCTCTTCGAGCTTGGTTTTCTCTTCGAGGGCGGCGATCTCCTGCGCGGCCTTGTCTCCAGCCGCTCTTTCCTCCACCCTCCCCGACGGCGCGTCTCCGCTCGACTGTTGCTCCGTGCTGTTCTTGTTCTGCTGTTGCGATGCCACGCATAATCCACGCAGCAGCATATCCCTGCGACGCAAAAGGCTAAAAAAACGACAATGGATTGGTTATATACAATGCTGACATTCTACATTTCGTCCTTTTTTCCTATGTCATTTAAATACCAACATTTAAATGCCGCATCAACGCAAATAATGCGTCTTATGAATTCGAGCATATTGTCCAATTAAGTTGAGGTGACCATAACTCCGTGCCAAAGAACAACGCGAGTTACATTAATCTCTGGTTTCATTTAAACATCGGCACATTTTCCGGTATAAATATTCTGATGTCATCTTCTTGGTTCTTTCGGTAAAGTCACGTAGAAGGGAAGTAATAAAATAATAAAAATAAAACATAATAAAACAATTCTCACGACGTTTCGGCCACAACGCAAGCAGCCGTCCTCAGGTGAAAACCAGGTCCGTCGAGGCGACAGAGTCTGAATGAAACAGCACACGGGCTTAGAATCCCTGCAGTCACGAAAGCTTTAAATCGAAATATTCTGATGCTTTGTGGGGTATGGACCCAAGGCCAAATCATCCATGCCGAAATCTGTATCATTTATTCCGTAGCCTTTAAATCGCACGATTTCCAAAACTCGCCTTCGCATCACTTCAGCCCAGTCCGTGCCAATGACGTGAGACGACAATTTCAAGCCATGCCCGGAATCAGCCAGTGCCACGACGCCTATTGGGGAACCTTTGAAGAGATTAGATGCGAAGAACCACTAAAGACAACCCCTAGTCCGTATAGGTGACGATGAGTTAGAGGGGCCGAGGCTCCTTGGGTTAGGTTACATGAAGGGTGAGTGGACCATCTATACCCATGACGGGCAATAGCCCGCAACGTGGCCTATGAGATACTATTTTCAACGCAATATTATTGACGACTGTCTTGACTGCCAAAGCAGTATCGCAAAATAATGAGGGAAATAAAGTCATAACCGGCTACCCTCAACCCGCACTCCTCCCCCCAGCTCTCGTCACGGGTACGTGAATGAGTGCTCAAGAGGGTTCAACGTGTGTCCGAAACAGCCTCACGTCTTGAAGTGAGGACGCGCGCAGCTGTAGTCGGTGTGGGGATAAGAGGTCACGGGCTGACCTAAAGCCTCGCTGCCTCCCCAACTCCAATGCCGGCGAATGACCTTACACGTGTGTGCCGACCGCGCTGTAGGGGGAGCGCTCCCGACTTGTTTCGGGGGGAGGCCGGGGATGAAACTCCGCTACGGTGAGCAGCCAAGGGGGGCGAGTCAGAGGGGTTCGCGTGCGGGCGAGGTACCTGGGCGAGGACCGCGACATCGCGGGGAGGAGGCGGCGGCCCAGGCCAAACACGCGGAGCCCAGCGGCGACGGCCATGTTGCTCCACCTTGCACGCGGTGCACGCCGGGAGCGTCACGTGCTCGGATAGCCACGCCCCCTTCCCGCGTGCCCCGTCCCCAACCCACGTGTAGTTGTGGTGGTGAGTGTGGTGGTGAGTGGTGGTGAGTATAGTGGTGGTGAGTGTAGTGGTGAGTGTGGTGGTGAGTGTGGTGGTGAGTGTAGTGGTGAGTGTAGTGGTGGTGAGTGTGCTAGTGGTGAGTGTAGTGGTGAGTGTGGTGGTGGTGAGTGTAGTGGTGGTGAGTGTGCTAGTGGTGAGTGTAGTGGTGGTGAGTGTACTGGTGGTGAGTGTAGTGGTGGTGAGTGTAGTGGTGGTGAGTGTAGTGGTGGTGAGTGTAGTGGTGAGTGTGGTGGTGAGTGTGGTGGTGAGTGTGGTGGTGAGTGTAGTGGTGGTGAGTGTAGTGGTGAGTGTGGTGGTGAGTGTGGTGGTGGTGAGTGTAGTGGTGAGTGTAGTGGTGTGTAGTGGTGGTGGTGAGTGTTGTGGTGGTGAGTGTGGTGGTAGTGGTGGTGGTGAGTGTAGTGGTGGTGAGTGTAGTGGTGAGTGTAGTGGTGGTGAGTGTAGTGGTGAGTGTAGTGGTGTGTAGTGGTGGTGGTGAGTGTTGTGGTGGTGAGTGTGGTGGTGAGTGTGGTGGTGGTGAGTGTTCTGGTGGTGAGTGTGGTGGTGAGTGTAGTGGTGGTGAGTGTGGTGGTAGTGGTGAGTGTTGTGGTGAGTGTAGTGGTGGTGGTGAGTGTGGTGGTGAGTGTTGTGGTGGTGAGTGTGATGGTGAGTGTAGTGGTGGTGAGTGTTGTGGTGGTGGTGATGGTGAGTGTTGTGGTGAGTGTAGTGGTGGTGAGTGTGGTGGTGGTGAGTGTTGTGGTGGTGAGTGTGGTGGTGAGTGTAGTGGTGGTGAGTGTTGTGGTGGTGAGTGTGGTGGTGGTGGTGAGTGTTGTGGTGAGTGTAGTGGTGGTGGTGAGTGTGGTGGTGGTGAGTGTGGTGGTGGTGGTGAGTGTTGTGGTGAGTGTAGTGGAGGTGGTGAGTGTGGTGGTGGTGAGTGTGGTGGTAGTGGTAGTGGTGAGTGTGGTGGTGGTGAGTGTAGTGGTGGTGAGTGTAGTGGTGAGTGTAGTGGTGTGTAGTGGTGGTGGTGAGTGTTGTGGTGGTGAGTGTGGTGGTGAGTGTGGTGGTGGTGAGTGTTCTGGTGGTGAGTGTGGTGGTGAGTGTAGTGGTGGTGAGTGTTGTGGTGGTGAGTGTGGTGGTGGTGGTGAGTGTTGTGGTGAGTGTAGTGGTGGTGGTGAGTGTGGTGGTGAGTGTTGTGGTGGTGAGTGTGGTGGTGAGTGTAGTGGTGGTGAGTGTTGTGGTGGTGAGTGTGGTGGTGGTGGTGAGTGTTGTGGTGAGTAGTGGTGGTGGTGAGTGTGGTGGTGTTGAGTGTTGTGGTGGTGA